GCAGCCTCCAAGTCGATCTGCTAAACTAAGTCAAGAGGCAACAGGTGGCGTGAGAAAAGGGGAGAAAGTAGAGGGCTTGTACGAGTTGATGACCGAACGTCAACGAATCGGATGTACATAGTTAGCGTGCCAAGGCCCTTTAGACTTCGTGCCTCCGGGCGAAATAAATTCCATCCATCCATCCATCCATCCATCACACCTCCAACATCACCACTGCATGAAACACCACCATTGATGATCACCATCTTCTGATGTCTCTGGTTGTACATCAGTTGTGGCAGGACAGCCCGAGTCGGTGCGGCTGATGCGCGAGTCCTTCTCGTGGATGCGGCAGCGGGCGACCGGGGTCCCTGACGACTATCTGGAAGCGCTGACCACGGCCGTTGTCATCAACGACCTCGGAAAGAACCCGTCTCTCACCGTCTACTACCATTTGCGCAGGGGGGAGGGTGTCTCCGCGCTCAACCACGACGCCATTCTCCTCAAGGCATGCCGGCAGCAGGGCGCAGTGGTGGCGCCGGCTTTCACTACGGGCAGCTGGCACAGACTGAGAACGCACCTGCCCGCCTCAACGTCCTGCGGCGCTTTAGCGAGAGCGACTATGACCGCCGCGCCGTGGCGCTTCACTTCCTTGAGCAGCAGCTCGACGTTTCTGGCGCCGCGGGCCACATGGACTAGGTGTCGGCACTGAAGCTGGCTGAGCCCGTTGTCCAAGCCTACCGTGTCAGCCACGACGTAGTAACCGCCATTCTCTCAGGCACCCTAGACCCGTGCGCGGGGTACGACCTCGTCCTCAGTCGTCGCGCCGATTTGCTCCGGCAATGCAATTGGCCCATCGTCGTTGAGCGCAACGTCCTCGGTGTGCTGAAGAACGTGTTGCAGAACCAGCATTCCACGAGGACCCTACCATCCTGGAGAAGGCCAAAGTGCCGAGAGGTATAGGCGTTGTCTTTGACGAGATTCGATCATAAAGTAATCACAGGGCTTGATTACACATATAACTATATCTTTAACCCCCCCAGCGACGTATCTCGACTAGTATTCATGGCCTTTTTAGCTTGCCGTCTCTCCGCCTACTCCCCTTTTCTGCGTCGCATTTCTTCATTCACGAAGGGTTCCGAGCCACCGTACCCTACGCCTTCATGGACTCCTCCTTCTCTGCAGTTGGCTCGAGCCACACATACAGGTCTTGACGACGCCTGCTGGATTTGGTGACAGGCAGTCGCTGTGACGTACCAGCCCTTCGCGGTCCGGCTGAATCGCCAAGTTCAAAAAGACAACGTCTATGTTGTTCAAATCGCAATTACCTAACTTGGGTCGTATCCTGTACCTGCCCTCGTCGCCCTACGTAAGGTGGGTAAGGCACCCTCCGCGCCAGACCTGTCCCAGTAGTAGCACAAACGGATGTGAATGTGCGTTGTTCAGATTTTGGGCGAACAATTGGTGGAATTCCATATCTGATAGCCTACAGCTTCACTCACGGAGACATTCCCAGCCCAACGGTTTACCCAACGCTGGAGGTGGAGGGGCCGAATGATTGTCTTGGCTTTCGGTTTCCGAGGTTGCTTGTAAGTGATCCTGACGCCGCCGATCGCTCGAAATGGAAGGAAAGGGACAACATAAAGGGACAACATGCATGTGACTTGCTTCGCCCATCAACACCTTTATGTTGCAGTCGCAGGTAAACCCTCCGCGAACCCTACTGAGGGGAAACTGCAACTAAAAAGGATACTCGAACTTGCCGATTGGCGGACCTTATTTCCACGGCTGCCATGTCGCCCCCAACTTCAAAGGGTGCTAGCCAAGTTTCCGGTTTTGGTGTAGAAGGTAAGATATCTGAGATTATTTTCACCATTAACATTGGTTGACTGGATACCAGGTACATTCCCCTGGCTATCCTCATGCCGTCTCGATCGTCATGAATACCGTGAGGTAAGTCACCTCGCGCTTCAGAAAATTTAACCCACAAATCTCAAGCCAAGTTCACATCCAGAAAGGGCTTGGCAACTCCCTTGTCGCCACGGCAGGTACCGGATTTGCTCTTACAGGGAGCACAGAGCTAAAGGCAACAAATGTCAAACATCCTACTTATTGACTAAAGCGCCCTCACTATAACTGCGTTTCTTCACTGACCTTAGGTACCCAACGGGGCCTTCGCATTCTGCCATCAGAGATCTCTCAGACAATCTGAGTCCAACTCAACATGAAGCTCTCCGTCTGGTTTCTGTCTCTGCCTGTGTTGGTGTCAGCACACGGCTATGTGCAGCAGATCTGGCTCGGTGACAACCTTGTGGATGCTTGGAACCCTTACAAGGATCCGTCCAAGAAACCGCCAGTCAACAAAATCACCAGAAAATTCAAGGACAATGGGCCGGTGACGGATGGCCTCTTCCAAGCAAGACCCCCTCGCCAATTCTCTTTTCGCGGCCCCAAGCTAACATAACCAAACACCTACAAGACCTCGGACGCCATCACCTGCAACATCGGCCGTGATGGGGTCAACAACGTCCCCGTCACTGCAACGGCTAGTGTAGCCGCCGGCAGCCTTGTGAAGTTCATGTGGACGGACTGGCAAAGTGATCATCCCGGTCCGAGTATGCCTTCCTCTTCCCGATTCAAATCAGCAAGTCATGGCTGACCATGTTTAAAGTCATGACTTATCTCGCCGACTGCAAGGGCAAATGCAGCGAGTTCTCCGGAAGTACCGGTAACGTCTGGGTCAAAATTCACCAGGAGGGCTACGATCCAACCAAGTCGGTCCCGTGGGCGAGCAAGAGGCTCCCGACTCAGAACAGCACTTGGGAGGTTAGGCTGCCGTCCAAGATTGCTCCTGGAGAGTACATCCTACGGTGGGTGCTCGAATCCACCATGTTCAAATTATGTCTTTGCTTTTGCCAGGTCACGGTCCACTAGTCGCTCACTCTGGTGTTCTCTCTCCACAGACACGAGATCCTAGGCCTTCAAAGGACCAACACCCGAGGCGAGCTTGCCCAGTTCTACCCCAGCTGTCATCAGATTACGATTACGGGCAGCGGGACGGCCAAGTTGCCGGCTGGAATTGCGCTTCCTGGCGCGTATCGGGCTGATGATAAAAAATCTGTAAGAAAAGATCTTTGGTCTCCACATGGATAATGTTGGCGCGCCAAAATGAGAGCAGCACGAAAGGCTTACACCGCGAACAGATTTTTCTCGAGTATCGGGCCATCTCAGCCACGAACCCCTACACACCTCCGGGTGGGCCAGTCTGGGGCGACAACGGTTGGGAACAGTAGGGAGAACTACGTGCCGACTGCGTGTGAGGACGGACAGAGATTGGGGGCCGTGAAAGAACCCGTTTCAATGTGTGACCATGGAGCTATTCCCTTGAGACACCTAAGATACCGAATGTAAGCGTGGATGAATCAGTTTCACCTCATCGCCCTGGTGCTGCCCCCAGCTGCGTGAAGCATGACATACGCTATCCTAGCGGCTTGAGTCCGTTTCACTCTGCTGCTTGACCTTTCCATTTATATGGCCCGGCTTATTTTTCGTTTTATTTGTCTTTGTTTTACCCTATTCCATTAGTTTGGTGTTCTGAAATATTCCATCAGTCCATAAGATCAGCGTAGCTAACGACTCGAATGTGGCAAGTAGTAAGTGGCATAAATCATCTAGGTACTTGTATTCAAGGTATGCTTCAAATCAGCAAAGCCGACCCTCGCTGTATGTGGTGGAAACCATCAGTATGATTCCCTGCCCTGGCCAGCGGGAACCTCATGTGGTAGTCAAGTTGCGGGGAAATAAGGTGCTGACACCTGCAATGCATCCAATTCCGTGCCGGTGGAAGATGCGTGTGCTCTCTGTTTCCGTAGATCAACTCCTCCCGAAGACGAAACTCTTCCCCCAAGTCGTATTGGAGGGAAAAAGTATCCCCGCACACATTGACGTAAATGTACCTCGTGACGATGCCATGCAACGCAGAGCATACCCCAGCAAACGTGAAGCGAAGCTTGGCGAGGACTACCTTCCCTTACCCAGCGTCATTAGGTATTGCCGCGGTAGACTATCTACAGAGGCGACCGGTCTCGCCTTGCCGACAGTTCCGAGAAACCAAGCCAGCGCCCAGGGCCGACGCCCTGCTGCCCTAGAACCATCGAGGCTCTCTGCCTTCAACTTACTAGATCGCTGTCATCTTTCGCCCTAGGCTTCAATGGCTACGCTGCGTCTTCTTGGCGGAGAAATAGATCTTCCACGATTGAGAACTGATACTGCTAGGCTCACAATGTTGTATGGGTTGTTGATGGGCAAGTTTAAGTTGACATGTCGGAACACTCTTCTCCGAGCGAGCGCATCACTTTCACTCCCTTATACAGCCTCCTGAATTCTCGCATAGTCACGAAAACTCAAGACACAATGCATCTTTCCATTCCAGAGACCCTGGTTCTCGTCGGGCTGTTGACCACCGCCCACTCACAGACCACCAGTTCCGTGAAATGGCAGGCATCCGGGGGCGTTCAATGCCCGCACCCATCGGTCAACACACGGTGGCCGACGGCAACGGGAAGCACCTCGTTTCCCACCGCCTCCGTCGTGCCGGCCAATGCCGTCTTCGACGGCAAAATGGCCCTGTTCGACCGGCGGGGCAGTCCGGGCGACTGCAAGTCCCAAACCGAACTCGACGAGGCGGCGGCCGTCTTCATCCTCGACCCAGGCGCCACGCTGAAGAACGTCATCATCGGAGCCGCCCAAGCCGAGGGCGTCCACTGTCGGGGGCCGTGTACCCTGGAGAATGTCTGGTGGGAGGACGTGTGCGAAGACGCTGCGACGTTCCGGGGCAGCGGCCCGAGATATGTCCGCGGCGGTGGTGCCAAGGGAGCCAGTGACAAGGTTTTTCAGCATAATGGTAAGCAGTTTTTTGCTTCAAAGCCAGTTCCTGTCCTTATTGTCGACATATCCTCGTGTTGGCGCGACTTCTCGTTCGTGGTGTGGTGCTTACCCGACCGATGACGACAGGCGAAGGGTGGTTGCACATTGACGGCTTCTATGCCAACAAGTTTGGCAAGTTTTACCGTTCCTGCGGCAACTGCTCCCAGCAGTTCCAGCGCCACGTGAACGTCACCAACTTTGTTGGCATCCAAGGCGTGGTCTGTAAGTTGATTCCCTAACCCGTCCAGCGGTGTGGTAGTGGAGGAGATAGACTTCCCAATTTCAAAGTTCAACTGACTGACACACGTTCCTTCCTTGCAGTTGGCGTCAACCAGAATTATGGAGATACAGCAGAGCTCTCAAACTACTGTCTGGCGAAGATTGGGGTTATATGCACACGCTACAACGGATGTGTAAAGCCCTGCGAGGCTGGTGAAGTCGGAGAGGGTGCTCTTCCTCCATACTGCAAGGTTAACGGCGATGACTGGACCTGAAAAAAAAAAAGAATGAGGCAAGTGGTAAGGTACTTCAGGTACTCTGTGATGCAAAAGGAGATTCAACGCAGCTGCCAAGTCTAGTTCACTCCACATCATATCTCTAGTTCTGTGTTGTTGAGCCGAACTTGACTCTATTCGCTATGAACGCAAGACAGTGTGACTGATTGAAGACTTCTCCAAGGACGGAGCTTAATGTGTCAAAAACCCAAGGCTTAAAACCCAAAGCTAAAGCACAAGAATATACCGTGACTCGGAAGTTGAAGTCACCTCATTACTCTGACCACCACACTTTTTCATCCTTCTTCTTCTTCTCCTCCTGCTCATTCTCCCCTTTTTCTTCCTCATTGTTCTCCTCCTCCTCCTTCTTCCGCTCTTACTCCTTCGTCTCCCAGTCTGACAAATTACTCGAATCCATTTCGGCGTTGGTTGCTTTATGTTCGTGGGTGACGGGGGCTAGACTTTATGTTGCGTACTCGACTTGGAGCTGACGTAGGCAGAGTTGATTCTGTCGTGGTGGACGCTGGCAGATGATATTCGCATATTTAATTGATGCTTTCCAATTGGAGCTTGATGAAGAGCTAGTGGAGTTCTGGTTTGTTGAAGAAAGGCTCTTGTTGAAGGAAGAAATGGGTGCTTGAATGCTCACCAAGGCCATCGGCTAACTTGAGTACCTCACCTATACCACCTATACTCTGCCACGTACGATAACGTAGCGGCAACAAGCATCCTCTCAAGCTAGTGGCGCTCTTTGTCAGGAAGCTGCCACGTAGCGCCCTTTAAACACGGATCAGAGCGTTCGTGAATCGTAGGATGGATGGCTATTGACACGTCGTCTTGAGGTCACTGGTCTGGATCGGGACTCCAAAACGGCCAAATCGTACGGTTCGCAACAGAACCACCGAAGGTACACGATATTGGCGCACAGCGGTGGCCATGAACAGAAGACGAAGCTCGACACTTCGGCTCATCCATTTAGCAATCTTTCAAAGGGTACCTTGTCTCCACTGTCAATGCCGTGAGTGAGCGATGACACGCTCTTCTCGCGGCCCTGCGTACCATATCGGGCAAACATAAGAGCTTCATCTCAAGTCCTGTAGAAGCTGCATTGTTCAAGGTCCCTCACCAATATGAGCGTCTGGCATATCTGGCACCCTGCAATTCGTTGTCGATGTCCGCCAGCACTCTAGTCTCTGTGCCTGAGCGGCATTATTGAATTCATCAATGCCCGTTTGTCCCCTCCTTTCCAGCTACAGTGGCCTTGTTGAAATCCCGGACGTTGAGGTTAGGTAACCTCTTCGACATATTGGATTCCCCATTCGCGTCTTGAACTTGAACGGCAGATATGGACTCTGACTACCTAAGGCAGCCGGTATTGTTCCCCGCTTAGGCCAGCAGACGATGTCCGCTATCTACTGACAAGCATGGTTCCTATACTTCACGCTTTGCTTTCGTATCTCACCTGACAACGGTGTGGTGTTTGTGGGTGCTTCCTTGAGCTCCTGCTGACCTTTCTGCCTTTGTTCGGGCCATATAAGATAAGGTACCCAACTAAGGTTATCTTGCCAGCTGGCCAGATTTCCAGTCCCAGAGCTATCTAACACCTTACATCTTCGTCTTCATCACGAAACTGCACCACCATCCCTCTTTGCATTTCACCACGGGAGTCCCAAGACTAATGATGATAGGTACACATGCTTATCAAGCGGGTTTATGGCTTCAACGATCTAGGTCAGCGTTGGACGTTGAGAGTACTAATACCCTTGCTAATTCTCCAGCGATATAAATGACGTATGTAAGACCGTGGCCGGCACCAGAACTCAGAATTGGTATAGCTGCTGTTCAGCTTTTCCAGTTGAAACCACCAAGACTCTATTAAAATCGGGGATACTTCAATCTGACACTACCAGTGGTTAGAAACACTCATCAACCCCCAATGACGATGCGCAAATCCTACGTTCACCGGCCCCCTCTCCGGCATTATTCAGTTAGCTGCGTAACCCTCTGGTGTCGTGGTTGCACCCCCGGAAAACTCTCACGGCCGAGTCAACAAAATTGAGCCAACAACCTGACCAGAACTTGAGCTTGAACTTAGGCGAACGCGTAAAAACCGGGCTTCTGTGTACAAAACCTTGCAGAATCATGACCGGGTCTGTTGCCATGGTGGTGGGATTAACCGCACCACAACTGTTCGATCCTGGAATTGTGGGCAGGGGATCTGTTGGAGTTGTGAGGTGTGCTTTTGAGGGCAGCAACCGGGAGGACGGGTGCCACCGACAACTTTTTTTTTTAACTGCTAATCTGGAAGTATAACGCTGAGTCCAAGGTATCCAACCTAATCCCTCATCTGCCTCACATTGAGATTGACCCTCTTATTCCGCATCCAGCCCCTCCACTCCTCATACCTTCCGCCTTCCGCAGGCCAATTTTCCAGATAACCCGGACAAGTCCCCTTCAACACCTTGGGCACACCATGCCACGCAAACCGCGACTCCTTGGTCATATAAATCGCATCCCCCGACCGCAACCTCAGCACCAAATACTCCTTCCTCTCCCCATTCCTCCCCGTCACCGCCACCTCCTCCCCATCCCCGCCCCTCTCCCCATCCTCCTCATTAGGCGCGATCATAAACAGCGCCTCACACCCCAAGCTGACGCTTACCAAGCCCTTATCCGTCTCCTCCGATACGTCGCGGTGCATCATCATGGTGTCGCCTGGCGTGTACAGATTGACAATAGCCGCCTGCGCCCGCGTCTCGGGAAAGAGTGTCTCGAGGAACGCGGCCACGTCGCGCGGAAAAGCCGGCCGCGGCGATGACCCGCCCTCCTCTTCCTCCGGTGGGTACACGCGCTTCGTCCAGTCGTACTGGCCCCCCAGCGTCACCCAGTGCAGCTTACGCTCAAGGACTTGCTTGATGGTGAGCGGCTTGTGGACGGACGGGTCTTTCGGGGTGAAGGGCACTGGGGAGGTTGGCGGATAGGAGAAGAATGAGATGTTGTCGTTGTTGGAGGTGTTGTCGTTGTTGGAGGTGTTGGAGGTGTTGTTGTTGTCCGGGTAGGGGAGGTTGAAGTGGAGGTGTAGGTTGGTTTGGTGAATTGGGTTGCTGAGGTCGCGGTGGAGGAGGTGGCCCAAGAGGACCTTTTGGACATCTGGAGGAACAAGCGAGGGGGCGATGAGGAGGCCTGAGTCGGGTAAGTGACTGATGCTTTCAAGAAACACAGGGCAACGTACCTGGTAAGAGAGGATGGTAGTATATCGGAGCATCCTTGAGCGCTCGGAATTCCGGAACTTCGCTAGGGCAGATGTGGCGAAATGACCTGTTCAGCGTCTCGATGGGGATGGTACCCGCGAGGCAGAACTCGGCCGCACTTGTTGGATTTTGCAAGTCATCAATGCCCTTGTTAAGTAAATCCTTGGCCTCGACCCTTGAGAAAGTCTTCCACTTGGCCCTGAGCTCATCTGAAGGCTGCTCGTGAGCATCCAGGTGTTTGATGTCCACTGTCATTTCGACGGCTCCGCTGGGCTCAAGCCGCGACAACCCTAAAGATGCAACAAATAAATCAGACAAAGTTATTTATCCGACTTGCCTATACCCTGCGTTTGTGTCACGCAACTCGCTCAGTTCGCGTGGGGTTAAATCTTGCAACTTGAACATGCAGTTGCGCTGACTGGAATGCCCCTCACTGAGTTGACAGTTGCATAGACTGCCTGCCGGCTTGTGTCAGCGTTAAAAAAGAGAGTGGGCCCATGCGCCACACGGCTGGTGCAACCTCCCGTCGCGGTCGCCGGGCGCGTCACTGACCAGCAACCGATTCCATTTGTTGATCAACTTGAAATTTGATCGCTGTGCCCCTGATCTCGAAGGCAATTCCCGGAGACCTGAGCTTCCCACGACCTTTACAACCAACGATTGGACGACAGTAAGTGCTTTTTTGCATTTGGAAGCGTATCCGACGATTCTTCCTGTCTTTTTTTGAACTTTGGTTTCCAGCTTTTCGGACGGTTTGTTTTGTCCCGGCGCTGCTGCCCCTCACTGCCAATCGCTGCCACTCGAGCAGCCCCCACCATCATCTGGAGCGCGATTCCTCATCGACCACGACATTCCTGCGCCCCGACAACCGCGGCCAGAATTGCGCGGGACCTACCGTCAGATTGGTTTGCGCAATCGTGTGACCGCATAATAACATGGAGAACTACCAGAAACTCGAGAAGGTCGGCGAAGGTTTGTGGCCTACGTCTTGCACCCCGTTGTTGTGCTGTCGCGGATATTGACTTGCTCGGCCGGCTCTAGGCACCTATGGCGTCGTCTACAAAGCCCGCGACCTCAACAATGGCGGTCGCATCGTCGCCCTCAAGAAGATCCGTCTCGAGGCCGAGGACGAGGGCGTCCCATCGACCGCCATCCGCGAGATTTCGCTGCTCAAGGAGATGCGCGACCCAACCATCGTTCGCCTGTTCAACATCGTCCATGCCGACGGCCACAAGCTGTACCTCGTTTTCGAATTCCTCGACCTCGACCTGAAGAAGTACATGGAGGCCTTACCCGTGAGCGACGGCGGAAGGGGCAAGGCGCTGCCCGAAGGCACCGGCGCCCAGCTGCATGGGCTGGGGCTCGGAGAGGCCATGATCAAGAAGTTCATGAGCCAGCTGTGCGCCGGGGTGCGCTATTGCCACAGCCATCGGATCCTGCATCGCGATCTCAAGCCGCAGAACCTGCTGATTGACCGGGAGGGAAACCTCAAGCTGGCCGACTTCGGCCTGGCCCGCGCATTCGGCGTCCCGCTCCGCACCTACACGCACGAGGTGGTCACGCTTTGGTACCGTGCACCCGAGATCCTGCTCGGTGGGCGCCAATATTCCACCGGAGTCGACATGTGGTCGGTTGGCTGCATCTTCGCCGAGATGTGCACGCGCAAGCCGCTCTTCCCGGGTGACTCGGAGATTGACGAGATTTTCAAGATTTTCCGGTACGGGTCACAGTCTTCTGAGTTTTCACCTCTGGCCGTGCTAACATTTGTCTCCCCCCCAGTCTTCTCGGCACACCGACCGAGGACATCTGGCCCGGTGTGACGAGCTATCCCGACTTCAAGGCGTCCTTCCCCAAGTGGGTGCGCGACCCCTCGGTGCCGCTCTGCGCGAACCTCGACGAGGCGGGCCTGGACCTCCTCGAGATGATGCTCGTCTATGACCCCGCCGGCCGCATCTCGGCAAAGCAAGCCTGCAATCACCCGTACTTTGAGGGCCTCGATCTCAACCCCCGACCGCAATACCATGGCAGCAGCTACCACTAGGACCGGATGCCGGCAGTCATGAGTATGACGATGAAGACGGTCCATCCTGCTGCTCGGCATCGGATGCTGCCTACCGCGGGCAAGAAGCCGTAGACGGGCCCTGGCTGGACGAGCGTGATCGCTCCTCCGGCTTGCGGCACCCTCCCAATCAAGCGAGCCACTGCCTTTTAGCATGCAATAGCGTCTTGCGGTCAGGATATGGTCGAGCAAAAAGAGTTTTCTCTACGGAGGGTGGCAGTTACGGCGGCGTAGGAGCGGCAGCCTGGAACACGTTGTGATTTGGCATGGGTGGATAGGCTTGTGGGGGAGATAGACGCGCGACATAGCATATTGGGGAAAGGAAACGGGCCTCTTCTGATGGGAGATCTGTGGAAGAAGCGGGCAGACGATTGTCACTTTGCTACTTGTCCTTCGCTGCAGCGGCGGGAGTTGCTTCCCGGCAATCTTTCTACCCCCGCTGTCCTGACCTGATCGTTAAAAGCTGACAGGCGTCTTTCTTTCGTCATGGTAATTCTGATGTATGGAGTAGCGAGGCAGCGTCTTGCGGAATTTCGATGAGACGGTCATTCTCAGTATCAATCCTGCTGATCAAGCTTCATTGTCTTACTCGCAATCATTGACTGTTGGCTGTCTAGAGTAATCTGCCGTGTCAGAGTGGACCGCCAAAGATCCCATTGGCTGTTTAGTACCTTCATCTCGAGACATCTAATGTCGATGTCGACGCAACATAAGCCATACCCAGAACCCGCCGGCTTCGGAAAGAGCACCCAGCTAAGACTCAATGCTCGTTGGATCGAAGGTTCCTGATTCCGGTTTGCATGTTCCGAAGGTCAAACCCAACACGAGAGAGTCTAAGATTATGGTTATGGAGCGTTGTTGGCGGTTACCTCCCACCTCAGTGGTGTTTGCTCAGCTCACGGATCAACCGCCGATTGGGGAGAGCCAAGGTTTCTCGCCCCCACAGTCCGGCCACGGACTACGAGATCAGCAGATGTGTGAGCGCTGCACCAACATGTGATACATCTCAAAGACCTGGATATGCAACAGATCGGGATCAAGCAGACAAATAATGCCAAATAAAGCTTCATGGGTTTAACCAGCAAGCTCGTCGCCCGGTATAGCCCGGACTGCGTCCTATTTTGGCGGGTCAGTCACAGCCAAGGATCCAACGGTAGCGCGCCTCCAATCTGGGGGAGATGGAGAATTTGATGATGAATAAAATGAAATAAGAACGCTACCCGTTTCATCCTGGACAAACAGGCTGTGTGATTGCCGCGCCCTAGTCTCCGCTGCATTTGCCATTGGCGCAGGGGTCGCGGCTCTGTTATTACCCGCGACCGCAGCCTGTTGTGTTTCGAGGCTGCTGCAGGTTGCGGGTGTTGATGAGAGCATTCAGCAAGCCGCTGCACCAAGGGGTATATCGCGCTAAGCTGCGGCAGAGCGCTAGACATTGAGCCAATCAACAGTTTGAACCCACATCAAACTTGGCATTTAGCGGGAGTACGCGCTTGATGGACCAATTGGACATGTTTGAAACAGAAACATTGAAACCTGGGGAATGGCGCTGGGGGCTGCATCGGGTGGTTCCGGTGAAGGGAGGAAGCGCCCAACTTTGTCTCCCAGCGGTTAAGGGCGCCTGCGCCTACACATGGATGCGGACGTTGCTATCATCTGATGACTGACCGGTACTGTTATTTTATCTATTTTTATTCTTTTCCTCCGCTTGACCGTTGGATTAATGTCGCATGTTTGCGCTAAAGACGGCCACCATGCCGAGCGTTCTTGCAGCAGGGTCCCAGAAAATCATCATCCTCCGATTTCTGTGGAACAGGCGATACGGAATGGAGGCGAGTGATGAAAACTCGATGCCCAAGAGATTACCTAGGAGATAAAACCTCTTCGCCGCCACTTTATTTGAGTCGTCTACAGCGTTTTATCAACCACTGAAGGCAAGACCGTGCCGTGCGGCCTCCCAAGTCCATCATCGCCATCTGATACCCAACCGCTGAGGCACAACCGTGGGCCTGGCCCGTCCGCCACGAACTCACCGAAAGCGCGGGGCGCCGGGTGTTTGGCCTTCCGCAGGCGATGGTCTCGGCCGCCTGGCCCGCCCGGTCTCCGGCACATTCGAGCTTCGAGTCTGTTAATACCGGACACGGCGCCGCCTCGGTTTCCTCTCGAAGTCACATTTCACAGCTTTTCCTGGCTTTGAAACGATGGGAGTCTCGAGATCGACGTTGTCCGTTTTCGCTCGTGCGCTGTTGGCGGCCAATGCTTGCTACGCAGGCAGGCGATAGTAACCGCGAATTATCTCATCGGTCATCCGAGCCCGTGAGAAATGTCTTCGTTCAGCAGGGACAAGGCGAGTTTGAGAGAGTCAGGCTGGTTCAGATGATCTCGAGATGCAAGACGTGGCGTTCAAGAGGGATTTGATCTCAGCGCCACCAGTGAATTAGAGTGGGAGCTTAGCGCCAAGACACAAGTCGGCCAGCTCTTAACAAGTATGGGACGCCGCTCCATGGCAGTCTGTTAGCACCTGCTTAGCAGGCATGGATCCATGACTTCAAATTGCATCCGCAAAATCTGTCATGCTCATCGGGAACCATCAACATGGCAGATGTATCTGTCACGCGACAAGCAAAGGGAAATTCTCAACTCGCCAAACGTTCTTGTCAGACGCAAGGCAACGGCTCGATACCACGGGGAGGCCGTCGATAGTTCGCCCAACATGACAACCGAGGACTGAAAAGGTTTTTTCACTTCAGTGCTCCTGCATGCAGTTCGCTGTTCCAGCTCAGCCTCGTCGACGCAACCCAATTGGCCCGTAAAGCAGGTTTTTTCGTTGAGACACGCAGCAGCCCAATCACGGCATTTACCGGGGCTGGCCACGCCGAAAAGGCCGTTGTTCCTCACGACGTTGTGGTTTTCGGTGGCCTCCGGGCCTTCGTCCGGGTCCCCACCTCTGGTACCCCCGCCAAGTGAGGGGTCGGGGGTTTGGATGACTTGGAGTTTGGGCGGTGTGGTGGACATCCTCCTCCGGGTGCATGTCTCCTCAGTGATAGAGGAGCGATTGCGGAGTTGCTTCTTTGCCGGCCCAGCTATTCACCGCCTGCTCAGTCTCGACAGCAGGAAGGCCGCCTGCATTCCACATACACGATCCAGGAGAGACTGTCCCTGTGGAGTTTGTCGTTGCCACCAGCTGTTCGATCGACGACTAATGCATCCCATCCTTCACCGGCCGGATCAGTGATTCAGACGGAGATTGAGCAGATTCTGGGTGAGTGCAGCCAGGTTGTAACATTGGATTGTGGAAATTTGATGTCTTGGTGGGATGCCTGGACGGCTCTGGCATGGCACTGGCTGCCAGCGACATGCCACGCCGGGCATTCGAGTTTCCATGCTGCCACCTCGAGATCCAATTCACAGGTCATTAAGGTCATTAGCTTCTCTTCCGTTGTGGTGTCCAACTGTCCATGTGCGTCGGCGGGACCCCCCACGCGATTCCTGCGGCTGTCCTCGCATGACCACCGGGGTGAGGTATCGAAGGGCAATCCGACATGCTCGGTGCCGAGTAAGTACAATACCTAAGGTACCGCGAGCATAGAAAATGCGAACCGGTATAGACCCCAGTTCAGCAAATTCTTATCTAGAAGTGCACTGGGAGCAAACCCAAGATTGAGGGTCGATGGATGATGTTGCAAAGCTGTCCCGTTTGTGAGACTGTTTCGTTCGTTTCGTTTCATGGCATGTGGTGTTGGAGCTTGGTGCCTACCTTGAAAGTTGGACTTGGCATCTCTGCTGAGGGTCTCTGCTGAGTGTCTATCAAGGGGCAGAGCCCCTGAGCTTCGCTTGTCACAGAACCTAACTCTGAGTGTTTCCCTTGATTTGGCTTGCTGCAAGATCTCTTCCACCCATTTTGACAAATCCTCTTGACTGCTGTAGTAATATAAACGACGCTGCGGTATGGAAGCCACGAACCCCCTCGCTTGTTTCACATCTGAGCGCGAGGTCAGAGCGCGCCAATGGCAGGCACCCGGCGCGGGATCGCTGGCACTCGGAAATCTCGCATGCAGCGCTGGCATCCATTCATCAATCGTCTTATGCACTTATTTGGGAGGACGTATGCAGCACATAATGCAAATCGCCTGCCATTCAAATTTCAGTGTCACCAACGATTCCAAGGGTAGGCAACACCTGACTCGGCCCGAGATTGATGTCAAATGCCCAACAGCGAAGGGAGTTGCTTCGAGTCTGCTGGCAACAGCCACGTCAAGTGAGCCCTCATGATGATCATGGCAAAGGTGCACGCTTCCCATGCGTGGCCCCTTATATCCCTTTACTGGTCTCTGGAATCCACAATCCGGTACATCCGTATTGCGTTGTTGGACGGGCGTTGCCCTGGCCACTTTCCTAACTCGGCAACACCTCCCTTGAGACTTCTCCCCGTGCGACGTTTATCTCTTACACGGGAGACCCTCGATCAAGAGTGCTTGCTCCTCTGACTACATTACCGTACGTTAGCAGGGGGCAGAAAGTCTTGAACACATCTGACCGACCGCTGGCATTCCCTTCGATTGCACTTTCTGCTTGCTCCCTAGGTCGTGCCTTTCCTTCCTCGCTGTATGTTGTCGGCGCTTTCTTTCCTTCTCCCTGGCTGAGGCGGACATTTCCATGTTGAAGACCAACTCCCTGATCTGGCCGGCGGACAACATTCAAAATTGGAGGTTGGGAAGCATTGCCCTCGACAGCATCCAGTCGAGAACTCCACGCAGAGTCACAGACCGCCAACTCAACAAATCGCTTGAAGAGGGGTTTGGAGCTCACCGCCGGCGAATCAACAGGAGTCCTCATCCTGTTTTGGAAACGCAGTAGCCGTCTCCAGTCCAGTAAAATCGACAACTCATCGTCGACTTGGCTTTTGGAGAAGCTGCATCCCCAGCCATTCGTCCAGCACTAAACCTTTTTTTACCCTTCGTTTCGAAGTGCCCCACCCCGCTTCGCCCCCTGTCAAAGTTGCCGCTGCAACAGGAGAGCGAATCAGTCGCCTGACACGACACCGACAAGTTGCACTGGCGACTCCTCGAACACGCTGACTTTGCAAACGGCGCATCCCAGCGCCAGCCGACTGCACTTTGAATTTTGGCGCGCGACTGACAAGCCCTGGTCAACTTTACCACAAGCCCGCATCGTTCTGCCATATTAACCCGACCGGAGCCCTCGAAATCCGAATCCAAAGTCCACACACGAGACGCAGCATTGCAACTCAACGGCAGCGCCGATTTTTCGTTGGACTGGTCTTTCCTTTTGCGTTTACCCATTCCGCTGGTTCGGAGTTTTTCACTACGACCGCTCCCCTAATCGACAGCTGCAGTCTTTCCGGCATCGTCGACCGATCCGGCATCGACTCTTAATATCCTACCACGATTTGGGCCTAGCAACACCTTAGCGCACCTAGCTCTGATTCTGGCACTGACTCGGTTCCCGAATCGGCGGTCGATCTTGCGATCCCTGGCATCGCATTGCTGGTGTTTAATTCCTTCGTCAAGCCGAGGCCGCCCCTTTTGTGTTCGAAACACGCTCGAGTCATCACCGCCTCCACTATCAGCGTGATACACTCTGTGATCTTCGCTATCTGCTACCCTCAGCCGCCACTGCAGACCCCGTTCTGTCCGCTGACTCCGCTCACACGCACCCGGAGCAGCTAGTCCCACTTTTCCCGGGATTGCCACCGCTCCGGCCCAGCTGTCCATCGCGCTATCGTTTTCCGGTCCTTGGCATCTCGTTCGTGTGGGGGAAACCGGTAAACCACTTTGGGTTTGCAGACCTTGAGGATCCGAGGTCGCAAGTTGGCTTTCGAATTTATCTCGCCTCTCTCTCAGTCAGGTAAAACCTGCTGCCGAGTTCTGCCCGAGGCATTTCCAGTCACGTCCAGCTCGGCCGGAGTTGTCCGTCGGGTGTCAACGGCTCCCTCAACGAGTTGATTGGCCAGGAAGATCTTGGCATTCTCGCCCTCTCATTCGGAGATCTCGCTGATCGCGCAACCCCTTGGCGGCGACCGACACACCGGCGCAACCCCCTGCACCCCGCACCCTTGTCCGCCTGGCCCGACCGCCTCCTGGAACGCCTGCTGCGCTCAGCCTCGTGGACAGTGCACGTCACCCTTTAGGTGGGAAGCCACTGAGACACGCATTGACAGGGTCTGCCCGACAGCTCTGCCTGCAGAGGACGCCCATTCGGCGGCCCACGCCGGAACACCAGCTGTCTTGTTCAGCCTTTCTGCGGGCTCGGCAATTCGGCCACATCCCAGTATTTGGCAGCAATTGTCCACATAAGCTTCGCCGCAGGGCATTTCGTGCAGCTCGTCAGTTGTTGATGTACACGCACCCTTGTGCACATCCATCTCTCCCTCCACAGCTCCACTCATCCCCTTTTTCGAGTTCACTATAACTTTTCGGCTTCTTGTCGACCCGGCCCTACTCTGGTCCTCTTCTCTCCCTACCCACTAACAGAGGAGAGAGCAAGTCGGGCACTCCTCGATCCTGCCACACTGCCTTAAACCCCTGAACGCACGACAACCGAAGTCAACACATCATACTGCCCCACTTCACAACACCTCCACACGGAGTCACTTCTACTACCACGCGCAACATGGAGTCGTTACCGATGCTCAGCCCAGTTGAGCTTAACGCTGCGGCACTGGAGCACTTTGTCTACCAGCCCGTTGACAAGGAGATGATCAGGTACTTGGCAAGGGCTGCTTCGAATGTCATCCAGTGCGATCCCAGCATGGCGCCACCACCATCGCAATCATCACGGCCGCGACAGCCCTCTCCTCCACGGGGACCAGCACCACAAGCCGCCTCGAGCAGCGACAGCACTCTTCCTTCGATCGAGAAGTTCATCACCCAGTTGGTGGTTACCTCCAACGTGCAGGTACCCACGCTCATGTCGTCGCTGGTCTACCTGCACCGACTCAAATCCCGTCTCCAGCCCATGGCGAAGGGTCTCCGGTGCACCACGCACCGCATCTTCCTGGCCGCCCTCATCTTGGCCGCCAAGTACCTCAACGACAGCAGCCCTAAGAACAAGCACTGGGCCAACTACAGCGTCGTCTCGACGCATGCCTACAACTTCGGCTTCAGCCGCACCGAGGTCAACCTGATGGAGAAGCAGCTCTTGTTCCTGCTGGACTGGGACCTGCGCATTACCGAAGAAGACCTGTACCACGAGCTCGACCACTTCCTGGCCCCGATCCGCGCCGACATCGAGGCGCGCCACGTCCGCCGCATGCGCCGGAAGCAGGAGCAAGAGATGCGCGAGCGCCAGCTGCACAACGAGCGCCTCGCCCGCCAGCGCGAGCGCGAGGAGGAAGCCCGCCTCTGGGCCCGCGCGCTCGCCCAGCCCCAGCCTGCCGTCGTCGACGCCACCGCCTACGCCCTGCCCCCGGCCTCGCGGGGCTCCTCCCGCTCGCGCCAGCAGACGTACACCCCGTCCCACTCACGCGGAAGCAGCCGCGACGTGTCCCCGCCGGGCCTCTACTCGAGCGGCTCGTCGTACGCCGGGTCAGTCACGTCGTCGCGCGCGACCACCCCGCTCAGCGAGGCGGATATCACCACGGCGCCGTACCAGCCGTACATTTATGATGCTGCCCTCGTTGTCGAGGTCGGCGCCGCCGCCGCCCCGGTGTGTGACTCGCCCATGGAGGTCCTCTACGACCATGAGCCGCCGTGTGTTCCGGAGAAGGACGCCGTGTATGCGCTCAAAGCGGCGCGCGGGAAGAGGCAGCACCAGCAGCAGATGCTGCCTTATGAGATTAGTGTGGAGGATTTGAAGAGCTTGGAGGAGTCTTCTAGGGGATCGGGAAAGAGGATGAGGGGGGTTTTGGGGAGGGTTTTTGGAACCGCGCGATAGAGCGGTGGATTCGGTGGTTGTTACGACCATGACGATGATGCGATATGGAATGTGATGTGTTCTTTATTTTGGTTTTGGGGGGTCTTGCATCTTGGGTGGTGTGGTGTTTGGCTTGCATTCCTGGTTGAGTGCCGTCGCTACTACACACAACACCCATCTAGGCGGAGTTTTGGGCGGTGTTTTCTTTGTGGGTTTGGCATCTTCGAGCAGCTTACAAAAGCGAGGCGCTGCATTATTACTATGCCGGGCGGTGCATTGGTTGGGTAGATCTGGATAGATCTGGCTTGCTTGTTCTATTTGAACAGACGTGATATCTTGGGCGGGAGGAAGAGTGGTGCAGTCGGATTTTGGGCGTTTGGCATATCTGCGGCATCAGCATCAAACCATGGCATTTACTGCTTGGGCTTTTGGGGTTAATGGTTGGTATGTTTCCTTTGTTTTAGCTATGGTATGACGGCAGGTACTGGACGAGGCAGGAGCATGTAATAGCATAATGAGCATAAGCGCCAACAATATACCTTGACTCACTTCACTCCCGGCTTCCACTGAGTGCAATGATCCCAGAAAGTGGCATGTGGCAATGGCGGTGTCGAAGATCAGAGCTTGCGTACCTGCCCTCCGCTGGCAGGGTTCTTACAGATTCATGTTGTTGCAGGCCGTGTACGCGGAAGCTTATCTGATACCTTGCACTCTTCCTTGTTGGCATCGGGCCGAGCTAGAAGCCCCCCTCAACTCATGATGGCTCAGGGCCGGAGCCCAGGCCCAGACCCACCGCCCATCTAAAGTGAGGGGTAGGTTGTTCGCCACGTTTCGTCCTGACCTTAGATTACCTGCGCTATCAACACGGCATGCGTGCGTGATTCATACATGTATGGACGAGGCCACATCCCAGGCGACCGCTTTACCTGTAGTGTTGTCGTGGTTTGTTGCAGATACAGTCACGGCAGTCAAGGCAGTGTGTCAAAAGTCAGGGGGCTGGGTCTTTGTTTACATTTTGCGCGGAAACTGGCCTGTTTTGCAGCCGCAATCTTGTCGGAGCTTGAACTGTCCATCTCATCGCTTCGGCAAAGTGATGGGACCGTGATGCGCGCTGGATTGGCCGGTCTGCGGCTAGCCGGGCGGGAGGGCCGTGTTATGCGGTGGGGTTACTACCTACTTTGTCTCTGTACGAGTTGATGTGTTGTTACAGATGGGATGATTGGGCGTGGTGATTGGGTGTGGTCAAGAGGGTGTGACGGTGGTCGGGTTGCCAGAACGGACGGCCGGCCTGTCGGCCGGGTTGGGGGGCCCAGCAGCGATTGCCGGGTCCGAGTCGGGAGTCGGGGTTTGTGGTGTAGTATACAAATACTGCATCTGCATACCTTATCTGGAACGAAATTGGCGTTGGGGGCTGAATTGTGCGTGTTGTTGTTGGGCGGTGTCGAGGCGATGTCGGGCGAATTCCATTCTTGGGCGTATGAGTTAGGTATACTCGGTTAGGCAGGAGCTCCGGTGATGAGCAAGGTGATCACGCCTGCGCCTGGTGGCATGTGTGTCACGGTGGAAACTTTGAGAGAGGCGGAAACGGGGGATTGCGCAAGTGCCGTCAGCAGCTTATTGCGGGCAGGCTTTTCCCCGGATCGCACGGCGTTGACCCCGAGAGATACCTAGAGGTACGGATACGGAGCGTTATGCTGTGCCACAGTGTTGCTTCAGCCACTTGCCGTTTTGGGAAAGTGACCCCCGACGTTCGGCTGGAGGCTTGGCTGCATTGCCCATCTGTCATGCTCAAGCCAAGCCCAGGCAATCGTCAACTCTGGAGCTTCCTGTTCCAGGTATTAGATATTGCACGTCCCGCAGCCCTTGAGCCAACAGTTCGAGCCTGAGTCTGGCTTGTGTTTCGGGCAAAGATAATTGGGCAGCGGCAGCGGTGATTGGCCCGATCAGGTGGCACAGGATTGACTGGCTGCCAGAGTGTCGGGTTGAAACGTGGGAGTGCAAAAGACATTCAACTCTGTTTCCAATAGGCCAGCGGACAAATTGATTGTTCGCGTGTGCCTCTCACCCAGCCGGCGGCATCAACAAGCCACGGGCAGACCGCGGGGAGAAACGCGTCCCGGTCTCGGGGAGGCGGTGCACTGCCACGACATGCAGAATTTGGAAGGTTGTGGCAGTTGGGAATCAGGTCAGTCGGCAACGGGTACGGTCCGACTATCGCCTTATTCACCATCAATCCGCGATGCACCACGCTACCTTATGGCCCGTGTTGGCATGTCTCCAGACGTTCAAAGTGGTGGTGGCAAGGTGACCTGCAACCAGTTTCGTGGCCACCTGATGCCCAGTCGACACAGTGATCCCGTCGTCTGAAGCCCGAATCAGCTGGTGAGTGGGGCTGCGGGGCCAGCCGAGAGCGAGGACATGCTCCTCAGCCCCTAACCCTATTATTTCAGCGAGTATCACCGATTCACCGCTTCATGTGAGGTCGCTTTGGATTCAGCTCATGAAATTGCAGGCTCATTCATAGAAAATCCATTTATTCGCATCACAAAGACTTCGCAGACTTGACTTGCTTATCCATTTTTTTTCGTTTGAAGTTCGTTAAGGACAATTCCTACTTCTAAAGTATTCCAGCCTACTGTCACCTTGGCAATTCGGTTGATGCGGAGTCCTGGTCTGCTGGCAAAGATCAGGCACCTTGCTAATCACATTGGGCTCTGAGGGCAGAGCAAGCTTCTCAGCTCAGTTACCAGCGTTGTGACGAGAAAACGCCCGAGATTCATCGGTTCGGGGAGTGATTGTCAAATTTCCTGGTTGCCCAGCCAGCCCAGTGCCATTGGTAATCAGGTCTCTGACTTCTTAATCCTGACAGGCTGACCCTACCTGCTGGACTTGAAGTTTGAGAATAACTAGGTAGATAGGGGACTCGGAATTCCCGTGCTGCAATCAGGTTGCTAAAGTGTCCAGGTAACCCACAACTCCCTCGAATACCAAGATATAGATAGCTGAAGCGCTGCGTCCGCAAAGAGTCTACGAGAACCCACATTGAAGATAACGGAGTTACTACCTAAGTCGACCTGTCGGTGGCATGGATAGGGGAATCAGCGGCAATGTTCTTTCAAAACCAATTCCGAATTCACACTCAGCTCTTCCATGCCTAGTCGCTTCTCAGGGCAGTTCCCAAGCTGTTGAGATCTCTACCTTGTCGTTTTCGGACTATTTCAGCATTCAAGGCGCATCCGAAACCACCTTCACATCAGTCATAGCGCTATAAGTCGGGTCTGGTATGCTTGGGTTCTTATGCGTCTCAGCCTCAACTGGACGCGTCAGCCCCAATCAGGGGTAAAACCAGCGCTTGGCACAAGCACCCTGCCCTCTGATGTTTTGGAACTGCCCGAATATCTCGAGCAACAGTGTATCTGAGTCGTACGGCAGACTACATTCAACCTTCAGCTGCAATGCCTGACGCGAAGGGACCGAACGTACAACCGTCCCCCGATGGCCTCTCCACAGAGTCCCGGCGCAGGCGGCCAGTTCCCGGACGCGGCCACTGTAAATCCAGAAAAGGCTGCTTCAACTGCAAGAGACGCCGCGTCAAGTGTTCTGAAGAACTGCCATCTTGCCGAGGTTGTCGACGACTTGGCCTTGAGTGCCAGTACCCCGGTGAGCTACCACGGCTGGCACTCAAGCCCGCCCAAAACCCCAACGCCACACCCTCAACCCTTCGCCTTGAGGACCTGCGGTTTTTCTACCACTTCCTCTCTGCAGCATACCCTTCACTTCCCTTCGGCTTGCATGACGTGTGGCAGACGGTCGCCGCCATGTCGCATGAGTACGACTTCCTCGCGCACGCTGTCCTCGGCCTGGCAGCACAGCACCTTACAGCATGCACCGCGTCCGACTTCTCGGTCCCAGCTCTCAGCCATCGGGTAAGCGCCATTACCGCCCTGAACGGCGCTCTCTCGGAGCCCTGCGCCTCCAGAGAAGATGCCGATGCCAGGTTCGCCGCCGCTATTCTCCTCACATTTCAGTCAAGTTACATGCCCGATGCCATGATGGATTTTATTGGCATGCTGCGCGGTTGGATGGTAATCCAGACGACGGTTGTCCCATCGATGGGCGAGTCTATCTTTCATGACATCACCGAGGAGACTTATGTCGGGAGCATGAAGAAGCTGCTCCAGCTGAATCCGGTGGCCGACCTGGAGATCGGTGCAGGAACTGAGCTGCAGGACATATTGGAGGGGTTCTTAGCCTCGCTTCGACTGCTGGCGCCACTCTGTCGGAGCACGGCTGAGTTGCATTACCTGGCTTCCATGGAGAGGATCGCCCGGATGAGCGAGGCCTCTCCTGTCCATGGTATGGATCCTCTCTTCACTCCTTGATTACCCCACTACCGAACTGCATTGGCAATGCTAACATCTCCCAGCTTGTCTCGAGCTTGTCCCTTTGTACGCCGCAACCAACGAGATGGACTCGGACGAGTTTGCAAGCTTCACAAACCCAATCAACTATACCGCTCAGATACTGCTCGTCCACTTCTGGATGTTGACCCATGTGTTACAGCATCACTCGCTTGGGGCAGCCCGCTCTTATGTCCTGAAAGACGAGATCCTCTTCCAATGGGTCGAGACGGCCGCGCAGAAACTGCCACCGAGCCATAAGCGCTATGTGCTGTGGCCGCTGGGAATGGCAAGTCAGGGGCTGTTTCGTCGTCTGAATGAGACACTGGGAAGCGATGGGCTCGATTACAGGGCTAACCGGTGGCATTGCGGCTGAAGGGAAGTGATGATACGGCGTAATCTGGCAAAACGACGAAAGCGACGGCAGAGCCAATCACAACTCAAATTGGAAAAGGAGGCAGCTAGACGAACTCGTCCAAGTCACAACATCTTCATGTTTTATTCCTCCCTCGCAAGGCCCCATTACCTTTGACGCGTAATCGTCGACGGTAGAACGACGAACCCAGCCCCTGAACTGCCATCACCGACGATGGCTCGAGTCTTTCTACCAGGTGGTGAACAGCCGCATAAGAACTCGAAGGGAACCAAATAAAAGTTGACCAGGACAGATCACCGTGACAATTCTCGACCCATCTTCACACACCACCGTCCCCTACAACTCCCTTCCAAATCAAACGCCATACCTGACCAGAAACCAATTCAATCAACCCCATCAACCTAAAACACCACAACCACCACAGCACCGAAAAGCATACAATGTCCACGCCGTCCGCAACCCCAACCACCGCCCCATCCTCGTCTCACCCATCACCACAACCAACCTGCACGACCGCCATCCCGGACAGCAGAGGCTACGTTCCTCCCACAGCCTGCAACGCACACTACGGCTTCTACCCGAGCTGGGAGTGGAACCTGGTGTTTGCCATCGCCTTCTTCCTAGCGTCGCTCCTGCACATCGCGCAGATGCTGGCGCACAAGAAGTGGTTCTGCTGGGTCGTCGTGATGGGCGCGCTGTGGGAGTACGCCTGCTTCCTGTTGCGCACGCTGGGCGCGTTCGATCAGCAGAATGTCATGTTTGCGACGGTGTCGACGATGTTGTTTCTTTTGGCGCCGTTGTGTAAGTAACTCTATAAATTCATTTTTATGGTTTTGGTTGTCCAGTTCTGAAGCTTTTTTTTTTTCTCTTTTTTTTTTTTTATAACATTTCCCGTTTTGTGATCATGTGGACATGACTGACTGATTGGGGATATTGACTGTGGGGTTTTCTTAGGGATCAATGCGTTCGTATACATGGTTGTCGCCAGGCTGGTATACTTCCTCCTCCCGCCCTCGTCGCAGCGCATCCTCGGCTTGTCGCCTCGCTGGCTGGCAAAGGTGTTTGTTGCTGCCGATGTGGTCTCGTTTTTCATCCAGGCGGCTGGCGGAGGCATGCTTGCGGACCAGGACGGTGGAGACACGGCCGAGACGGGCCAGCGCGTGTACATGGCTGGCATCGGGGTTCAGCTGCTCTTCGTCGTCTTGTTTGTCGTGGTGACGGCCCTGTTCACCCGGCGACTGGAGCGCTTGATGAAGGTTGGCCTGTTGGAAGTGAGCTGCGATCCGGCTTTGATCAGACACTTGGTGTGGTCTGTCTTCGGGGTTATTGTTTTAATCGTGGTAAATATTCCATCATCAAAGTTCTGACGCTTGGGATCGTGAGCTCATCGGAAGTGTGCCAGGTCCGAATTGTCTTCCGCTTTGTCGAGTTCAGTGGCGGCGTTTCTGCCTCCAATCCCATCCTGGCCAACGAAGCTTATCAGCTAGGCCTTGATGCCTTTCCGATGCTTATCGCGCTCCTTGTCATGAATGCGGTGCATCCTGGAAAGGTTCTCATCGGTCCCGAGAGCAGTTTCCCGAGAACGTTGCCACGACGCTGGAAGGTCAAGTCGAGGAATGGCTCTGGATATCAGGGGATGGATACGTCTAGTCTGGAGTTGAACGCTAGAAGTCGGCAGGCTGAACAGTCTGACGGCGTGTAGGACAGGTCACTGGCCTGGGCCCAGGGGTTATTCAGGGGTTGCTCCGTATAAGAGAATGGAGTCAAAGTATCGAGATAGAGCTTAGGTTCCCGGGAACGGTTAACACCTCAAAGAAATAAAGGAACTGTGTATTTGTTGTCTCTTTCCTCTCTAGACCCGTACGCAGTGAGGAAGGACTGCCAGCAATTCCCTTCTTCCACCAAGGTCACCTGTCACCCTGACTTCAGCCTTCTTGTTTCCCAGTAAGAAGAATGATGCCCAGCTTCCAGCGCTCCCTATCAACTAGTCTCTGATGCCATTTACTTCGGTGTTGTTTCAATCGCAAGCGAGTCGTAGGGTGCAGTGATTCCCTGTCCTTCTAACGACGAGTCCGTCCCCAAGCCGACCAGTTTGACTCTAACATAATCTATGCGGTGTCTCGATGCTTTTGACAGACCGTGTTGTTCGATGGTGCTTTTCTTTGGCTTAATTCCTCTCGCGCATTTTCCAAAGTCGAGGTCCTGTCCCTCGCCCTCACCTCAGAGCACTTTACCTCCCAAGGACCGCTCAACTTATTGTTGCACTTTTCGCGTGCGAAGATGATAGTTTCTTCGTGGCACATGGCTGCGGTGTTCGAGTCGTGGCGACTGTTCCCAGTTCTGAGCGAAGCTGGAGATCAACGTGAGTTTGGAAATTGGCCGGATGGGAAGGTCGGAATGGTCCTTGCTTGTCAAGGGCGAAATCTGAGATGTTGATGAAGGTTAATGATCGTTTCAAGAACTGTAATCAGAGTGCGGTCTTGAGAGCTAAGCGTGCCGAACCGAGAATGCTGATGAGGTTCGCCGATATTGAGGAGCGGTAACCGATGTGGGCAGTGTCGGGTACTACTAGACTTTGTGCAAGCCACCATATCGGGTCGCTCGGGGTCCCTTGCTATATAGGGCTCGATAGGCTACGTTTCTTTGCTTTGATCAGAAGCCGATCCGTGCTGTCATCGATGTGCTGCCATTGATTGGATCTTTCACAGGTGATCCGGGCACCTGCTCCAAATACAGTCAGCAATCGGGTGTTCAATGGGTGATGTGCGTTACCTTCATGGCACTCTGATGGTTCCAGGTCAATAGGCCTGATTACCAGCAAAGAAACCTTGGATCCGTGTTTGAGGCCTAGAATTTCTAGGTCAAGGGCTGTATGGAAGCGTCAATCGAACGAGTACCTGGGAGTGTGAGTCGAGAGTCATTCTGCGTTATTATTTCACGAACGGTTTCAAAAGGCCAGAGCCGGAAACCAGAATGACACATGGTCATTTGCCTTGAACCATTGATAGCGTGTTCAGCTACTAGTTAGGACTCTGACGGTTCCTACGATGAAACGGGTAATGGCCATGTTGTCCATAGTACCTTAGGTATCTCAGAGGACAGGCCACAGAAGCTCCCTTGTAAAGGCCAGTGTCACTACTGAGGCCAGCAGCGCAGGAAGCACCCATCACTTATTGCATACATTATATGGGTGGTACCCGTTCTGTGACCTAGGCTGCCGCTGGCTCAAACGGCATCGGCACTGGACCTCGTCAGCATAACTTGTAATGAAGGCGACTGCGTAAGGTCCACTACCACCAGAGCTCTGTCTGACGTTTGCAGGAATGTTTAGCAATTCTAAGGAACAAATCATCGCTCTTTCACACAGACTCACCACAACCTACGACATGTCGCCGGAGCCTTCGCCACCACCCACACCGCCTCCGCATCCGAACCCTCCACCTACGCCTCCAGGCCCCCAACTGCCTCCTCGGACTCCGAATCCTTGCCTGTTTCCACAAGGGTGAAATGGACAATAAAGGCGGAGTAAGACAAGGACGGATTGTGCCGTATCCATCGAGTTCACAATATACAATATGAGGACACGCGCTGTGTTGAGGCTTGAGAACAGCCTTGAAGCCTTGAAGGTCAACAAGGAATTTGGTCAATATCCGTTTATGATTCATCGTTGAGTGTATACTTTTCATAGGCTTGAGTCTCAAAGCCTGAGGTGCCTTATCACAGAATGCAATCATTTCCACCACTCATATTCTTCCCAGCTACCTAAGGTAGTTCAGATCACTGGGGGTAACTCTGCATGCTATTTTGACCCTTCATGAGCGTCTCACGAACACCCCAAGACCAGCTGTGCTTCTTTCCTTCTGTTTAGGGCTGTCACTCGCGGTAACTCCATGGTACTGTACCTGAGGGCCAGTGTGTCCACTAGGCTGAAAAGCGGTTCCAGATCCCTCCGTTAGGTCCGGCACGGTGGATAACCCTAAGATGCTTGTACCTTGGCCTTTCTGTTCTCAAAGCTAAGGTTCTGCCTCCCACCCGGAAGCAGCAATGGCGCAATTCCTCGACTTCTGGGAAGACATCGCGAAGGGAGAGAGAGTCGAGAAGGCATAAGACCCTGACCATCCAACTGGGACACAACAGGCTGCCACAGGAAGAGCGACAAAAGCTGCTAGTGGGCATTACTGGAACATGGGGAACTAGAAGATTTGTTCTGTGCATATGGAGTGGATTTGGAGATGACTTGCGTCAATTCAGCTGTGGGCGGATCGAAACACTCAATCGCGACGACCGGCAGGTTGGGAGTCGGTTCGGGGGGTTCCGGCGTCGAAGTTGCCGCGCACATGGAGCTCGTTACTCACAGGATGTTGTTGTGGGTGGTGCCCCACATCCTTGGCAGACCGGGTTGCCCCACATCTGGTGCAGGGGTTACAGCCCTGCCCACCAGAGCCATCACACATCCAGGATCACTACTGTATGGAACCACCATTGATGATCACCATCTTCTGTTGTCTCTGGATCTCCATCAGATGTGCCCGCCGCCCGGCGCCGCACAATGCGAGTAGTTCCGCGTGGACGCGTAGTTGCTCGGCCAGGGGTCAGCTGGTTGTGATCCCTGGGCTTGGGTCCGTGTTCGAGGCGGGCGGTGGTGGCACATTCGAGAAGGCGGCAGGAGGGCGAACGGTGGTGGTGGGAGGCAGCCGCGTTAGCTCGGTGAAGTGCGGCGGCTGGCCTGTGTCCGGTCGGGTCGGCACCAGAAGTTTGTGCAGTACGTGCCACAATTCGCTGTGCACGTGGGCGACGGCGTGCCGCTGAGGTAGGTGGCTGTCTTGGACGGCCCGAGTTGGTCGCCTAGACCGCCGTCGTTGCCGCTCCCGCCATCTCCATCTCCCCCGTCGCCAGGTAAGACAGGACAGCTGCCACCGCTCTGCCGCCGTGCGCGAGCCGCTTCGCCCGGCCCCTGCAGGCCTCGCCTCTTGGTGACAGGCGCCGCGACGCAGGAATTGTCCAGGTCGTTGATTGAGATCTCGTCCAGGTCGCGGTCAATGTCAATCTCGGGGCAGCCCTCGGCATCAAGATCGAGTAGGCACGACATGTCATCGTCGAGCTGGCCTTTCCACACCGTCGGCACAAACCACGAGAACTTGTTGCCGCTGTCCGACATATGAGGTTCTTTTGGCTGCGAGTCGATCTTATCTGGACTGTCCGGCTGAGGGCCTTCAGCATCTTCTTGACAATTTCAGGCTTGTCCGGCGGAGAAAGGAGATGTCTCACGAATCAGATCAATCATGCCCCCGTTCCCACGCGGCGGCGGGTTAAACGACCACGTAAGGAGCACAATGGATCGCCCTCAATGCCGCTAGTGCAATCTGCTCCAGGGTGTCTATAAGCGCTTCTATGAGCATTAGACTTGAACCTCCCGTCGACTGTCCGGATTCAAGGAATTTGCCTTTGGTTTGAGTCTATGAGACATGTCAGTGTTGGGTATCTTTCGGGACGAGATGTTCACCGTCCTCTGGTTCCATTCGCTTCACTTCTCTACAGCCTTTACCAATGTATAGAGTGAGGAGCTAAGAAGGGTTTGAAGTAGGTTAATGCTCAATCCAAGCAGGGGTGAGTACCTTGGGGAGAGGGCGGGTTGCTGGGATGTGTGTTCATTAGGCTAAGTTTCCGGTGCCCAGGAGGCAGAGAGAAGGGGATAAGTCAAGGCCTCAAGGGGAGGGGGCACATACGCCAACAAGGGTAACCCTTCTATGCCGCAGACGCCAATCAGCTGACCTACGACAAGCAAAGCCGCGGCCGCGGCGTGGTCGGAATCGACGGCGAGGTCATCATACTATGCCCCGTACTTTCGAGGCGTGGGGAGGAAATCCATGTTTGCGCTGCCGGACGTCAAGGATTGTGAGTATGTCAGTTACTTATCTTACCATAACTCGAGCTGGAAAGGTCCCACTCACCGGGTGCGTGGCGTCAAACCGGTTCTCAACCACGTATACATAGTGCCCCTGACACTCGGAGTCGTCGCGCTGATACTTGTAGATGCGGGAGAGGAGGTTTATCCACCGACCAGTGCCGGAGTTGATGTTCTTGGCGGTATGCTGCTGTAGCCCAAGGCCCAGTGAGTGCCGTTTCCAGTCCACCACTCTGGCTTTCTTGCCGGGCGTGTCTCAGTTCTCAGCTTTGACTCTGTGTCGTTGAAGATGGGGCCTGCGTCGAATGAAGCGGCCTCGGACCTAGGTGACCATCTCTTAGAACGAGTCGCCGACGCCGACGTCGGCCTGTCTGGTGGCATTTCATGGCAAGCCGCGAACTGAATGTGGTTAGAATGCGTTGTCAGTACCTGTATTTACTTGTACACGAAGGTGATAAGAAAATGAGGTAACAACACAGAAGAGACCTACAAAACCGGTCGCGCGCAAGGTACGCAGATAGTCGCGCCGGACCTGGGTGAGGTACACGAAGCCGACGATGTACCAGGGTCTTGAGACTTCGACGACGGTAAAGTCATCGTACTGCTTGGCGTCCACGGTTCGGTCATTCTTGATCACTTTTTCCCAGTCAGGAACCGCGGCAGCGTTGGTGGGGTCGTCTGCGGTATAGAAGGCATCGACTGGGTAGGGTCCTCGCACTCGTCGTCCGAGTCACCGCGCATACTCAGCGCGGCGCTGCCTGGCAGGGCAATGTGCCGTGGAGAGGCAGAACTCGGTTGTAGTCTGTTCCATTATCAGCCGACATCCCCCAGGTCAAGTCCAAACGAGGGGCATTGTTACTCACACCACACCAGCCCATGGCCGAGCAGCACGGCTTCAAGCCGCAGGGCATATCGCCGTTCTCGCTGTACTTACCGCACATGGCCTTGGCGTTGCACTGACACAGACAATCGGCGCCGCAGAAGCCCGGGCCGAAGCCACAAATATGGTCCTTGCTGCAACAACTGCCATCGATACAGGGCCGTCGTTACAGCGCAGGGGGCCATCGCGCCTTGCCAGGCTGATATTATGGTGGGCGTGTCGCGCGGCCAGGAACGATGACCAGTCCGCGAGGTCACTAAGCTCAGCAGGCGAGGACGAGACAAGGGCCGGGGACAAGAGAGGCTGGGTTGGTACCCTGGCTGGGTTCTGGTGAGCTGGGCCCTAGTTAGCAATGGGAAAACGTGGATGGTAGCATCACGTACCCCAACAAACACCACGACGTCTTGCATGCGCCTGTCATAGCAAAACGCTGCCACTACGCCAGAACACATCAACAGTTGGCCATCTGCTCAACGGTCGGCTCGCCTCATCTCCTGGCCTACTTCTCACGTCTTGAGCCGTCGCCATGACAAGCAAGAACCCGCCGGCCTTTCCCGAACCCAAACCCGCGCCGGCCCCGAACCGCGCCCGAGTACTCCTCCTCCTCTTCCTACCCCGCCGACTCCAAAGACTCCGAACGCTCCAGGTGACAAGACGTGACGAGGGTCACAGATGTCTTACGAGAAACCCAATAGAATTATGCCTTGTGGTCGCGGCGGTGACTGGGTCCGCCGTCTACGGGCCGCTCCTCGTACGGGCAGCGGGGTAGACAAGCTGACATATCGACCTTCAAGGAAGGAATCCGGCTACTTTCTGGTGCCGGGATGGTGTTATAGATTTTCCACTGTACGCGGTGGCCGAGAGGGACTGCCGCCCTTGATCACGAAGCGCGGCAGGAGAGCGATGATGGCAGGTTCCTTTGCCTGATTCGAGCTTTGTCGACCGGACGAACGCTTCATACTAGATACTCGAGTATTGACTTAAAGATCTTGTCACAATCCCAGAACCGATCGGTTAGTCCATCATACCCTGCCCTCGTGCGTTGAAGCCAATGTGCCACTCGAAGTTCCCACTCCCTAAGTTGAAGATATTTCATATCCAGTCAGCCTTTCAATCAGGAATCAAAGTCTCATTCGACCCATCCATCCTCACTCCTTGACAGCGAAGATCTTGTACGACCCTGTAAGGTAGAAGCTAACTGTTAGCCTCAACCAGAGTACATGTTGTTTCAATGTCTGAATTCTGAATCCTTGATGTCTGGAACATTCACTCACGTTACCAACAAACTCATTGAGATCCATCTTGCCAGCTGTTACTCCCTTGGGAACACAGCATCCACTGCTCGCCATCTCAGTGGACTTCCCACACGCCTCAGCCGGTGCATCAGCTGGCGCGCAGCAACCTCCTTTATTCTCACCATCTTGGCCCGTCTCCAAGTAGACATTCAAATCCGCACCTGTATCCACAGTCACCACCTCTAATCACACAATCAGCATCCCCGTCATGATTCTCAAGCGGAACTACGAACTCAAAGTGAGGTAGAGCACTCACCATAAACCTTAACCGCCTTCAGCCACCCTTCATATCCATCCACTTCACTCGTCCCAGCAATACACCCCACATAAAGTGCCATTTACCGTTTCAACCCCTCCGGCAGCGCTTTCTTGGCGATGATATCCGACACGGCGACCCGTCCGCCAGGCTTCAGAACGCGGTACATTCGGGCAATCACGGCGGGCTTGTCGGCGGCAAGGACTAGGTTGATGACACAGTTGGATATGACGCAGTCCACCGTATCAGGCGGCACCGGCAGGGAGGTGATGTTGGCTTTGAGAAAGGTGATGTTGGATTTGGTTGGGGACGTGGAGGTGGAGAGGATCTGATTCGCGCGGGCGAGCATGTCCTGCTTATACGAGAAATAGAGGGCGGGTTTGTTAGGTAGGTGGTGAAAGAATGCCCTGAGGAAGCCAGTGGGGAATAGGAAGGGCGAAGTACATCGATCATGTCAATGCCGATTGCGCGACCTGAGGGGCCGACTTTGGTTGAGGCGTCGAAGCCGGCGCCGCTGCCGAGGTCGATGACGGTCTCGCCCTGTTCATGAAAGAGTATTCAGCGTCAAGGAAAATCTGAATCACAGGTGATCCGTGGTGCTTACCTCCTTCAAACTGGCAATAGACAGTGGCTTGCCGCAACTCAGGCCAAGGTTGGCGTCCTGGGGTATGTTGGCCAGCTCGTCGGCACTGTAGCCAAATAACTTGGCCACCGTCTCGCCGTACTTGACGCTGGTGTTGCGCGAAGCGGAGTTGTAGTCTCGCGAACTTGATTCTAAATCTCGGACGAGTCCATATTTGAGGGCTCGAGGTGATTTCAAGGTTACTGCAGTGGCAAGAGGTGTTCTCGGGGTGTTAGGCCGATTATGTCGTTTGTGTTGTTGTGAAGGACAGGGACTCCTCGATCTGACCAATGTGGTACTTGTCAGGTATTTATCTTCATGGGTTTCCCTTCAACAACATCTGTGCAGTTCCATGATGCGACGGTGTAAGTGCTGTCATCGTAGTCCGTCTGGATATTTGCCTAATCGGGCATAGGTAGACCACTTAATGCCAAGACACCAACTGTAAGCGGATATTCTTGGTTTTGTCGTCAAAATTGCCTGCTTCTCGGCCTTGTCTGCAACATTTCACGACTACACCCGAAGGGCCACTCTGCTTTACCAGCAGATTGAAACGTGCTAACTGAGACCGACAATACCGATTTGTAGACATTTGCTTCTCTTGATCAGTTTTTTTTTTTCTCATCCAATGGACTTCAAGAATATCATGCTCGAGCCCACAAATTCTCAAGCAAGCCGCCCGGCCCTGACGCAGCTCGACAGCCAGAGAACCAGCGGCGGCACCGCGCTCGAGTCAAAGGCCGCATCGCCGACTTGGAAACTGCGCTTCGGACGCTCAATCCAAGCTAGACGAATCTTTCAAGCAAATCAAAATCTTTGACAGCCGAGGTCAACCGGCTGCATGGCCTGTGGCCTGCGGAAGAGGTCCCGGCATCGCAGACACCAGCAGCATCCCCTCAAGAGCAGGGCCCAGATTCCGTAACTTGCACTCAACATGGCACTGCAAATCTGGACGCAAGCAGCCCGGCTTTCCAAGGACACGCTTCAAATTCTAAGCAGTTCGTTTCACCAAGCTGATGGTCTTATCCCTCCAAGCCCCTGCGGCACCGCCCCGAACCAGAGCACAGCCGCGGCGGCTCCGGAACAGGTTCAATTTGCCAGCACACAGACTATGATGTTTTCTTTCGCCGACACCAGAGCCGCAGACGATTACGAAGAACCAGACAGCGACTGTCCTCTCCTCCCAGCCCCAGGAGCGGGCGAGTCGACGATTCCCTGCCAGAACGCCTATCTGATCATAAAGGAGCGAAGCTCGCCAGAATTCGACCTTTCGGCCGCGAACGAGTGGCTGATGCCAGAATTTCGCAGGGCCATTGCCACCGAGACCGGATGCCCTGTTTAAACTCACCTCCTGTTCTCCTTTGTCTACCACATGATGCCGATGTGAAAAGCTAGTTGTTCAAGCCCGTAACTAGTGGTTGATACCTTACTGTGATATGAGGGGGAGGCGGGGATGGGATGGGAGGAAGAAGGTATCCACTCTAGCTGTCAGCACTCGGCGGGTTCATGCATGTCGTCGGCATCGGCGGGGCCCAGCAACTCCGAACCCCCCTCCACCACCTCAGCAACGTCACGAAGCTGCCTACCTAAAAGCATGTCCCACCACAACCCCCTCGGCCACATTTCCATTGGCGTGCGCAACTACGACATCGCCAAGGTCTTTTACACGGCGGTCCTGGCTCCTCTCGGCCTGCACCTGGTCTACGACAGCGAGGTCTCGACCCCGGGAACCAAGAAGATCCGCACGCTCGGGTACGGCCCCAACGCGAAACATGAGCTCGTGAACATATTCGAGTTCGGCGATGACGCGTCGCCTCCGGGGCCGGGGTTCCACTTGGCCTTCGACGCGCCGTCGAGGGACGCGGTGGTCGAGTTCCATGCCCAGGCGATGGCGGCCGGCGGGACGGACAATGGGCTGCCGGGGGTGAGGAAACATTACGGGGCCAACTACTTTGCTGCGTTTGTGGTGGATCCGGATGGCTGGCGGTTGGAGGCCGTCTGCAAGGAGTAGGACTGCTGGACGGTAAAAGCAGAGACAGGGCGACGGGGGTCGCTGCTCGAGGTCGACGAGTGTGAAAGAAGGTGAGACGAAGAGGGTTAATTGAAGGGACTCGGAGCTAGGAGAAGAGCGAGGCCTGAAATGCCGCTCAAGTTGATGGCTTTAGGCGGACGCTCAGGGACATTGCCCTCGTATCCTCGGTCGGCGGAATGATGTGCTTTGCTTTGCCGGGTTGATCATTCCAGATGGCTGCATTTCAGAATGCCAGGACATGTCTACATTAGACAGGCAGGTTCGTAATGAGGCCTACACTATCATCACCAATGGCAGCAAGCTCGAAACAACAGGCATTGGGGTCCCGAGGTAGTGTTCGCTCGTGTGGTTGCCTGGTGGATAAGTGAATAGTAACATTGGGCGTGCCAAGTTGTCACACTTGTGATGGCCATGCGCCACGTCTGGGAAGTTGACTTTCTCACGAATCTGATAACGGGTAGCAGTTAAGTCGTGTGCCACTGTGCAGTGCGTGACAAGCATGATGGGGATTGCGACCGGACTAATGGTCCGGATCGGCCCCACCTTGTGCACCTTTCGGAAGCTTGCGTTGACGGTTTGGGTGCCTGCACCTCCAGGCCGAAGCGACCGCGTAGCACATCCGTGGCTTCCTGCATAAAACTGCTGAAGAATCAGCTTGCCGTGGCAATGGATTGTTCGTTTTCGCTTGCTCATGTGCTTTGTTATCGCGTTCGCTTGTGACTCTTCGTGTCCTGCCTCTCAGGGTTCAGTCTTTCAGCCACTCTTCCCGCACTTGCTCAACTGGCCTACTGTGTCTCGTTTACCTGTTACCTATGCAGTTTTCCTTTCTTCCGTACATAACTTATCAGTTTTCTCAACTCACCTCCGAGTCTAACGAAATCTCAACCCCGCAGCTGGGACATACATGCGGAAAGCTCCACTCAAAGACTGCCCCAAGCTTAACAGCGGGTCAGTTGGTCCAAGCTTTTGATGTACAGCCGTAATACGTTACGCCTGGTCCCGCACCTTTGGAGCTTCATCGCCTTCACCTCCCATGCCAACGGAGTACTGCTGCAAGACCCTAGCCGACCACGCACAGCCCAGTACAGCGTCTCTGGCGTTCAACAGTTCGACACCTGATTGACCTTGGGTATCGAATCTCAAGGCCGGCTTCGCGCCTCCGTGAAGGTGCACCCGCTGAGTTTGCGTTCAGAGGGGTCCCTCCAAGTGGTTGACGGCAGCGTCCAATACAAATACGGCATTTTTACACGTCGCCGACCCCGGTTTCGTGGTCCGCCGCAACCAACAGCTACGACACCTTCCCACTGCCCGGGGAACAGCCAACACCCCGTCTCCGGATTCGGTCTTTGCATCAAGGAAGCTTCATTTGGACGTCCTGCTTTCCGACCGTTCCCAAGACGGAGCCGCCTCCGCGGTGTAGCGAGCGAGCATCGAGCACGCGAACAGTCGCCGCAGCCGACCAACGACTGCAGTAGCCTCCCGGGGGCGAAATGAGTGGGAGGACCGACTGCAATAACCAATTCAACCCCCAGCCTTCCACGCCGTCCAAATCTTGACGTTCCCAGTTCCGACGGGTTCATTGCTCGCCCACAACAGTTTACTTCGACATCACGGGATTGTGCGGCCTGACGATCGTCAACGGCGCAAAGGCAATAATGGACGAAACGTTGGAAACACACTCGGGCTCGGCTGCAGGCTTCACTGCCTCGGTCAATGGATCAGCTCCTCCGTTTCTCTCAGGCTTACTCCCCTCGTTCGAGACAATCTCCCGGGCTACTTCCCCGGGGCTGCCGTACGGAGAGCGTCAGCATGAGGACGATAAGAAACGCTACCGCCCCCGCACGTTCAGCTACTTCCGCCTGCTGCCGTTCGATGTCGAAGACGAGGCGCACCGGGATGCTGCCCTCAACGGCATCCTCAAAAATCTCTACACCTCCATCTTGGCCGAAGACTTCTCGCCAGGAGCGGTGCATTGGACCCGCGAGCTCAACGGATGGCTGAACCTCAAGTTCGAGATGACGAGGGAGCTTCGCGCTTGTCTCGCGCGCTTGTACTACCATCTTGCCCTCGCTCCCGGCCTGGATATTAACACGGCCGATCGATTTGCCCGCATGGTGATTACGTTGACGAGGTTGGCTTCCACTCCTTCACGTCCGAACCCTCTTTGTGCGGAGTACTGACTTCTCATCGCTCCATCTTAGAAAGAAGCACTATCTGAAGGCTGGCGAGGATCTCACCCTGGATTGGCAGCCGCTGTGGAAAGAGTTGAAAGCGTTAGTATTGCCACATGAGGCCCCGGCGCACCAAGGCCCGAGGAGAAGATCATCCAAGCACCTCCTCAAACTTGGTCTACACGTGGCGGCGTGGTTCGACCCCAAGGAGAGACGGGCGATTCTAGAGGAGCTACTCCCATATTTCAGCACCTCGGGCCTCTCCAATGCATATATCGTCATTTTTGCGCTCGCCGTCATGCTTCCCACCGGCCCTGCGCCCCCCACGGAACCACAGTCGCAGCCTTCAGATTTCTTCCCGACCTTCTTCCATTTATGGTCTCTCATGACCAGGTCCAAGGCCTTCGATGCGAGCTTCATTGACATCTTTTCCCGCACAGCTCGGGACCACCTTGGCTGCACCCACGTGCCTTTCACGGAGCATGGGATCTTCACTCGCGAGCAGTCCGACCTCATCTTCACCGCCATCCTGAGGCTGACCGAGATCCCTGTTGGTCAGGCCAACTCGCCATACGCGTCGATTGATTACGGGTCCGGCCTGGGCGTCTACCTGGAGAAGGACAAGAAGAAGTATCCTGTGCCGCATATGATCGCACGCTGGATCGTGTTCTCACTATCTCCTCTCTGCCTCCAGGCCGAAAATTCCATTCTTGCAAATCTCGAAGGCCTGATGGAGTCCATCGACACCTTCTTCCACCCGTCCAATCAGGGATCATGGACCAGCTTCCTAGCGCAACTCACGTATTACTTGACGGATAACTTTGTCTCGCGTTGGAACCGGGAACAGAGTGGCGAGCTCGACGTACCGCCCGAGCGACGGATCAATGACGAGCTGAAGAAGCGTTTTGTCCTCTCCCTAAGGGAGGTGACTTTCATGGGACTCTTCGCCAAGAGCTCCAAGGTGGTCAACTATTACTATTCAACTTTGCAAGGCTTGGCCTACCTTGAGCCCGATCTGATGCTCCCCGGTGCGCTGCAGCGGTTCTATCCCAGTCTGCAGGGACTGGTCGAGGTGCATCGGACAACATCAAGTTTGTGCGGTCTGCAGATGATTGCCAACATCATGTGCAAGCAGAAAGGGTACCGGTGCCACGTTACCGCACTGCTGGCGTTGGCGCTGCCTGGCATTGACGCGAATGACCTGGGCAAGACACAACACACACTGAACTTCATCCAAAGCGTGGCTTACAGCATACCGTTTGTGCCGTTGGCCCGTGACGATGATGACATTCACGACACCAGCCTTGCCATGAACTGGGTGCAGGCCGAGATGGAGAGGATGGAGCGGGAAGGGCAGGACATCAAAATCTGCTACGAAGAGGAGCTGACTGATGAGGACGAAGCCAGCATCTTGCGCTCGTCCACTGCTGGTCTCGGCGAATTTGTGCTCGCGCTCTTGGGCAAGGTATTTGCACTGCTCGAGAACCTCCCCGACGCCAGCCACCTCCGCACAGGCTCGCCCGAAGACAACGTCATCAACACCCTACCCGCTGCCCTCACGCCCCTATTCGCATCATTATCCCCGGAGCTCTTTGACATGGCGCTCGAGAAGCTTGCCGCTTTCGTTTCCAGCCACGTTGTCCATCAAGCCCGGGATGCCATGGCATGGATTTGCAATGCGCTGTGCAAGGTCAACCCGGAGAAGACACTCAAGGTGTTCATTCCCATGCTGATCGTCAACATCCGCAACGAAATTGACTACAACGGGGCGGCATCGGATCGGAGCAGCGGCACCGAGGTGCTTCCCCGGGACCGTGCCCTCGTCTGGCACGTCAGCCTGCTGAGCATGTGCGTTGTCCATGTGGGCGCTGAGGTGCTGAGGTACAAGGACGAGCTCCTTGGGATTGCCGAGTACATGCAGGAGAAGTGTCGAGGCCTGCCCACCATCCACATCTCAAACTACATACACCATCTCCTGCTCAACTTGACCCACACGTATCCCATTGATAACGCTCTCTACGAGCCAGATGTCATCGCCGCCGGCTTGGACGTCGAGCACTGGGGCCGCCAAACTCCCCCGTCAGAGCTCACCATCAAGTGGCATCGTCCGTCGCATGCGGAGATTCTCTTTGCGGTGGAGCTCTTCGAGAGTCAGGCCAGGAGTGCTGCCCGGAGGCTCGAACAGCTCATGAGCGACGACCCGCCGGTTAACAGGAAAGGGAAAAACAAGGAGTGGTCGGACGAGCTGTCACGCAGTCTGACCGCACTTAGACTGATGATCTCGGGAATAGCGACGCTTTTCGACCCACTCCGGGCCTCGGGCGAGCCGGCCGGCCATGATGCCAACGGCGACAAGATGGATGAAGAAGGCGACGCGATGATGGAGCAGGATGATGACCCTCTTGCCGAGGTTGCGGATGACGACGAGATGAAACGGCAGTTCCGGTACGCCGCCGGGTACCTGCTGAGTCCCCAGGATCCCGTGTACGAGCGCCTGCACAGCTTGCGCGAGGATATTGGGCGGCTCCTCTCGCAAACTCACGCGTTTTTGAACGTGAATCAAGAGGACGATGTCGCGTGCTTCACGGCCCTGTACGCCGCGTACAGGACGTGGATCACGGATGTCGGCATCGAGCGGTCGGCCCATCCGTTGGAGCGCCTTCTCCGCCTGTACAAGGCCGACATTTCACCGTTCCGAATCAACGGGCTTCGGAAGGTCTACCCACGGCCGCTGCTGATCAAGCGCGCGGATGCGTACCAGCTTCAGCGCGTCAAGTACAACTCGGCGTACCGGAAGAAGAGCGAGCTGGACAAGCAGTTGCTTCTCGACCTCGCCGAATCCTGCACCTCGTCGTACACAGACGTGCGCCGGGTGGCCCAAAACGCGCAAGACTCCTCGCTCAAGGTACTGCTAGGGGGAAGGCCGCTGGTCATACCGGTCGTCTTAGACAGGCTGCGCAAGGCACTCGAGGAAGGCGATCATGACCGCATCAAAGGAGCGATGTACACACTCCTGTTCACGACCCTGATCAAAACAGTCATGCGCGACTGGCGGTTCGCTCCCGATCTGATGCGCCTCTACATTGAGACCGCCAGCGTTGACAAGGCGTCGATCCAAAGCCTCGGATCCTCGGCGCTGTACCCGCTTCTCGAGTTTGGAAAGCCGCTTGAGCGCATGATCATCTTTGACCGAGACTTGGTCGAGACCATTCGCCCTGCGGAGGACTGCTCGGCCGCCATCAAGCGTCGGAACGCCTTCATCAAGGATCGTCGCACCAAGGTAGAGGCGAAAAAGGCGTCGCTGGGCCTGGAGCTGATCAGGAAGGCACGCGAGTCACACTGGAAGGTTGCCAACAGATGCACCATTTTTGCATTGAACTGTACTTTGCGGTTTGATACGCTTGGGAATCCAGAGTTCATCGACCTCGTCGCCAACGGGGCGAACGACCAACACCCCAGCCTCCGAGCGAACTACCTGTCGGCATTCTCGGCGTTATTCACGGCCATCGACATGCGCGCTGCCTACGGTCATGAATACAAGAACTATCTCACCGAAGAGGAAACGGACCCGAACAAGTTGGAGGTGGCGGTGCCGACAGACCATCCTCTGGTGACTGAGAAGTTCCTCGCGCAGTTTGAGACATACGACAATGTTCAATACTTTGTCGACCAGGATCACCCGGGCTGGCTGGTTTGGGGTAAGAAGCTGGCGGTGGCACCTGCTGACCCCAAGCCGTTCGTGTATGACGAGGTCGAAGAACGTGTGCGCGAGCAGATCGGCAGGATTATCACTAGGCCGTGGCTCCAACAGTGCTTTGACTATCTCAAGCAGGAGCCGAGAGATTCCGGGGCGGACCGCTTCCGGATGCAGAACGTCGTGCTGCTCATGAACGTGTTCGACTTGATGCACTCTGGGAAGACGTCTGCCACGTTTGACGAGGTTGTCGAGATGGTCAAGGAGGTGTATGGCGACGGGAGTGATAAGCACCAGCACCGTGCCACCGCCGAGATCCTTGGTGCGCTGCTTGCTGGGAGCGTTGACGATCCGCAGGCGATACGGGACAAGGTGTGGAAGTTCGCGGCCCCGATGATGCTTCGGATCATCGCCGACGATTTAACTCCAGACAATCTCTCATACTGGATGACTTGCCTGCACGTCGTCATTGACGACAAGGATCCTAGGCGGTCTCGAGAGCTAACCGAAGCGTTGGCGTCGTTCCGGCTCGACATGAACTCGAATGCCGCGTTCAAGGAATCCTCCAAGATGCAGCTTGTCGAGTTCATTGTTAACGACGCGGGTTGGCACTTCCGCCACGAGAAGCCTATCCTTGAAGACTGCCTCGCGCACCTCGACCATCCGTACAAGTCGGTGCGGGAGTCGATTGGCAGGATCATCGCGACGATCTACCGCACCCGGTACCACGAGTCCTTCAAGGACGTGTCGACGCTGCTCGAGCAGAACAAGGCCGCATCCTCGACCGGCATCCGTCCCTACCAGCCATCAGAGGAATTCGCGGCCACCATCAAGGACGTCTTCGCCCGCCTCGAGAAGTGGCGGCATGAGCGCACCCCCGGCCAGCAAACGCCATCCAGCTACACATCCGGCTCCAAGACGGTTCTTATCTGGCTCGACAGCATGCTCTCGTCGCAAGAGTGCATCCAACTCGTTCCCTTCTTCCCAGATCCCTTCATCGAAGCTCTCCTGCACATGATGGACGTCAAGGAAGACCCGGAGCTTATGAAGCTCGCCTATCACGTGTACCGGCACCTGCCCAACATCCCCCTCCGTGACGGCGAGGACGACGCTTTTATCGCCATGCTCATCCGCGTCGGCAAGACGGCCGCCTCGTGGCACCAGCGCCTGCGCGCCCTCGTGAACATGCAGGTTGTCTACTTCCGCCGTCTCTTCCTGACGCAGCCCGCCCAGCGCCAGATGCTTTTCGATGCCGTCGGCGACATGCTCGCGGACCCGCAGCTCGAGGTGCGCGACTGCGCGAGCGCCACGCTGGCCGGCATGATCCGCTGCTCGCCGGCCTCGATCCGCAGCCCCATCATCTACCAGCTCAAGGAGCGGTTCGAGACGCAGTTGAGGATGAATCCCATGCCCAAGCGCAAGGTTCCCGGGACAGACACGCCCGTCGATGCGCAGAGGCAGATTATCAGGCGTCATGCGGCCGTGCTGGGGCTCGGGGCGCTCGTCGAGGCGTTTCCGTATGCGACGCCGCCGCCGAGGTGGATGCCGGAGGTGCTGGCGCACTTGGCGACGAGGGCGGCGAGTGATCCCGGGGTGGTGGGTAAGGCGACGAAGGCGATTCTGGCTGAGTTCAAAAAGACGAGGCAGGATAGTTGGGGGGTTGATCAGAAGGTGAGTTGTTTTTCTCTCTCTTCTTTTTCTGTGTGTCGTTCTTATTTCCCTATACCGCAACCCTCTCCCCTATCACTTCCCAGGCCATCCCTTGTCTCAACTGAGATCCCCTCTATCGTTATTCAGCCAGGGTTTTGAGTAATGGTGTGTAGAGCAAAGATGGCTGACTTGCGTGTCTACAGTACTTTACGAGCGAGCAGCTGGAGGATCTGGAGGGTGTCCTCTGGAAGAGCTACTTTGCTTGAGTCGAGTTCTTGCTATGAAAAGTGTCCGGGTTGGGGACAGACAATGAGATACCACGGGGAAATATCAGCAGGTAATATTAGTAGTGGTATCAGTAGTTATTGGTATTGATATGGCATTGGTATGGGAAGGAAGGGAGGCGGAGGAAAGCGACGAGCGGAATCAGGATGATGAAAAATACACGTTTTTTAGTAGGGCGTATTCCTGCAATATTATCTTGGATTGGGTCTGGTCTATTATGAACCTTGCGGTGCATTCGGATTATGTCCTGGGCTGTGGGAATGAGTGGGCGGCGTGAAAGACTGGCAAAAAGCGGTTAATTGATGATTTGCGCTGGTGGATAGAGGGATGGAAGTGCAATACGGTTTATTACCTGCGTTTTCCTGTTTGACAACCATCGCAATGTCTCGAGTCTTCCGCTCCATCGCAGAACACGAGACGTTTCGAAAGCTGCCTGTCGAGATCATCTGCGACAATGCGTGCCTGGCGGCATCTCAGGATGAGGACAACAACTATCCTCAATACAATAGCCTTGCGCAGCTCAATTACCAGTTAAACGAGGGCGATTGCCGCCAGTGATTTTTGGATGGCTTGTGATGAGAACTTAATAAATCAACGGCACTTCAGCACCTGTGAAGTCTGGACGTGGACCAACCTACCAACCGTTGCCACGTTGCCATGAAGCAGCTCGTTGCTGAGCGACTGCCTCTGAAGTGGTCATGGCGCTACTACAAAGACTTGTAGTGGCAGCAGCACAGGGCCTTGTCATTGATTATGGCGCTGATCTTGACGCCTTAGAGACGGAGTCGAACGGCTCCCCTAGCGGGTTACCATCACGCCCTACGTCCAAGGCTGCTGGTTCACGCCATTTGAATAACGAGACACTCATTGGAAGGGATTGGAATTCTATTGATATATCGTACGAGCTACAACATCAAAACCTCTTCGCAGCAGGCCAAGCCTCGAAACAAGCCCCCTCATACTCGATCCCCAGCCTCCCCGCCTTGAAGTTCCACATCGGCGGGACGATCCCTCCGTCTCCCCGCAGCAGGGCTGTCCTCTTCAGGGTGGCCTCGACCCATTGCAGGTACTTCACTCCCGACCTGGTCCAGCGGATCGGAAACGTCCCCAGGCCGGTCTCGTGGTCGTAGGCCGCCCTCACGGTAATACCCTCCAGCTCGTCCCGCGGCAGCCGCCGGAGATGCGTAACAACCGCCTCCCCTCCTCCTCCATCTGCTGCTGTTGACTGTTGCGGCGGCGGCAGCGTAACGTCCTGGGAGTAGTCAACGGTGCCTGACGGCGCTGGAAAGACGATAGTCAGTGTCTGGAGGGAGAAGAGCCGGAGCAAAAAGTCGGAGCCGGCAGCCAGGACGCGGTAGATTTCGGTGCTGGGCAGGGCGAGATGGCGGATCTTGTGGTAGGGCCAGTAGTCGGCTGGTGATGGTGCGGGACGGAAGAGAGCGGTTCGGAAGGCGTTGAGACTGTGCCGGGGGATGTAGAGGATGTCAATCTCCGGGTCGTACTGGCGCCTTGGGTGGGGAGTCGTCAGGGCCACGTAGCGCGCTTCGGTGGAGGTTGCCAGGAGGGATCGGTTGCGAGGTTCGTGAACCACCAGGCGAGAGATGTCGCTAGGTTGTGAGAGAATGCAGACACCCTGCCGTGAGAACGTGGCTGGTGAGGAGGCTGCGATGCGCCAGATCTCTTGGCGGAGCTCAGGCGGCAGGCGGGGAAACGGCTTGAAGCTGGCTTTTCTAGATTCGAATTTTGTATATATGGCTTTAACGCGATTGCGCCGTGGAATTCGTGATGGGTAGTACGGCGTCATCTCGTCGAGTCGTCAAAGGCGGGTGTGTGACTATTCTCTTCCCAAAAGTTGAGAAGAGGAACTTGCCGCTACGTGTGGCACGGGCGGTTTTGCCTGTTGGCTTGGCTTGACATCAGCCTTTGGCGGAACAAAAGTAAGCGAGACAGCGATGAAGGTTTTAGGAGATGGGATGAAAAATGATAAGTTAACAGATCAACAAAACAGGAGGAAATATGATGACATGAGACCAAAAAGATGATCGACCCAGGGATCGAACCTGGCACCTTCTCGGTAGGTAGAACCTAGCAGTTCAAACTTTGTGAACGAGACGTGATAACCACTACACCAGTCGACCTCGAGTCATAAACCCAGATTTAATCCCTAAGTAGATGCATTCAAACAGCAACCCTCACCCTTTAAACGAGGTTAGAAAAGGCATGGGGGCATCGGTGTAGAATGGCGGGACTCGTTGCGACTGTAGGAATTAATTATTATTCCTACTCCGCTATGCCCTAGGGCGTGCCAGACCTTTAGCTACTGTAGGAATAAAGGCCGGGCATGTACACCATATACTTTCCTCGAATGTACTTTATGGTGGTGAGATATACTTGGAGGAGGATCCCCCTCGATCCGGTGTCTTGGCGTTGACGTTTGACTACTGCATGACATAGTAGGGTTGGATGGATGGGGTTAATCAGTTGGTACATGAGAATGGCGTCGAGAGAGAATGCGGAATGGTACGGCTCCTGGATTAGGTGGCGTTCGGTGGCGTTGAAACAGTTTTCTAAGTCTAAATAGAGACACGCGTGTCCATTCCATGGTCTATAAGAGTCAACGTGGTACGAGCAAGGCATGTGCTCTTACTCTACCCGGCAGCACCTTCGGCACATTACCTACATGCACCAGAGTCCGGGCCTGCCTTCGTTCAATGAAGGCCAGTGGTAGGACGTCGCGGCCGGTCTATAATGGACCCATTTTACTCAGATACAGGATATTTGGATTACGAATTCTAGGTTAAGTGGGAATGCATGTCATAAGCTTTCAGCGCAACTGCCTGATGACTTGATGAGAAACAGCAGGAAGCATTGAGTCAGATCTTCTAGGCCTAATCGCCATCATTTCTTCCACAAAGTACCAGAGATCATGGTTGACGATGGACGGCATCTTTGACCTTTCGGGTCGGGATAACCATTACGCTGCTGATGTCTAGCCAGGCTGTAGCCTGTGGCTGAGACACATGCAAAACATACCCGTCTGTCGAGCCGGGCTGTTCGTGAGCTTCATTTTCTCAACCCCGCAACTTGCAGTGGCCATGGCCGGTCTCTGAGCAGTCCGCGCAGTACCATCCTATCCATGGTCTCCCTAGAGGATGAAGACAGTCAAGTTTACTGCCCCCACTTCCGGTCCAGTCACCCCAAGACTGCTGGGCCGGTCCGTCGCCTAACCGTTGAAGCGGAGGCACAGAAGCTCCAGCTGTGGATTGACAAGATGCGTGAGCGATTTCTCAAGCCTCAACTGCGTACAGGCAGGCACTCTGCCGGCAAGGCCGTCAGGGCTTATGTGCCTGAAGTGTATCATCACGCCATCCGGCCCGCCGTCGACGACGACGACCACTAGCCCGCAGCCACGTCAGAGTCGCGCGATTTCCATCGTTTCCGCGACCTCCCTCCCGAGCTGAAGGTTGCCATCCGGGAACTGGCCGCCGCGAAGCCCCGTCGGCTTGTCCGCCTGGGGAGAGAAGCAATCCAACTCGAAAACCAAGGACTCCGCCGTTCAACGGCCCCAAACGTATGCCGACGGTCGCGCAGGCGTGCAAGGAGGCCTGGGATGTGGTCAAGGCCGGCGGGTCCTACTGACCGCCCGAGGGCAAGGATCGGATGAAGGTCTGGGTCTCCTCCCGAGACCTCATTTTCATCCCCAAGTCGCTATGTGGCCCCTCCAGCGCTCTGGCCCCCGAGGGCAAGCTCGACTACATCTGCTCCCACAGGGAACTTGCCGTGGATTTCCAGCATTTCGTCTCGTTCGACTCGAACAAGCCCATCTGAGGCTACGGGTTCCTGCGTCATGCCAAAGAACCTCGACACGCTAGTGTGCATCATGAGGACGTATGAGATCGTCGTTGACAGGACCAGCAACGATGGGGAGGAACAAGCCTTGAAAAGCAGGACCCCGGAGAGGCTTGTCATGTACAACGACAACGATTGGTACGGGTAGGACAAGGTAGAGGCGCTATGGAAGGGGACGAGACACTGGGCCTTCACACACCTGGGGGGGGAAGGGCGTGGTGCCGGTTGAGAGCTACCACCTTCTTCCATTTGGTGTCAAATATCTCGACTATGAGAGACAGCACTGGGAAGGCGAGTGCCTGCCGCGTGTCAAGGCCGCGTGGTTGAAGATGCTCGATGTCGACGTTTCAGAAGATGGAGTGACGAACGAGGCTCACCCGGGGAATGGTCACTTCCTCACTAGGAGTTGGTAAAGCGGAATTTTCCACGAGGGCAATTGGGTCTCGCGATGTCGGAGCCTGGGGCAGCACGTTGCCCAACGGGGGGCCACCCGACCGTATGTCGGAGGATTCTATGTCGGAATGTCAGGCAGTCAAGCGTAGAATTTTAGCCGTCGGCTCTAACTTGCATTCTTCGCGGAGACACTGGACCGAAGTTTCCAAAGGGGCCGCCTGTCAGTCTATCACAGAAAGGGACCGCTAAAACTCGATATGTAGTGGGTTTGTATACTTTTCAGATTTATTGTTGGATTCCAAAAATCACTCCTTTCGACGTTCGAAAACCACCTACACGGCGCTTAGCTCGGTTCCAACCCCATTGTGCCCACATCTCCACCTGCTCTGTAGCTAGTAAATGTTGCGGCCCCTCCCTGCAGCGGCAACACCTGATTTACGGGCATAGAATGGACCAGCCTATGACGCCAAGGCACGTCATGTCAACGAGGCGGGGCTTCCATCCTGAGTCTTCGACTTTCTCGTCACAAACAGTCGCACCGACCCTGTTCTTGATGGCTTTGACATTGTCCGGTTTTTCTAGTCCGTATGACGGAACATGAAATCTCGGTTTCTCGGATGGAATTGGTGAAGGGTCGTTGGTTGCCAAACCTGGGTTGTCTTGAGCCGTATTCTTGTCATTGCCGTCATCTTGGTCGGCGCTGCCCTCAGCAATGTTCACGGAGGTAGCCGTGTCTCCTCTCTGTCCCTGGCTCATCTCCTCAAGCCGGCGTGTTGCCCCTTCCGAGAGGCGCATGCGCCGCTCGCTTGTGCCATAAGTGGGCTAGCCTTTGCCTCGTCGCGGACAGCCACAGAAAGCCCAGGGCCAACCCCTCTCCGCCCTCCTTGTCTCGCGCAGTTCGCCAGTTCAGGCGGCCCGCTGGACATCAAAATCCTTTCCCCAATCCACAACCCTTTGCCCAAGTGAGTATAACCTCACACGCAGGCCTCAATCCACCTCTCAAACCCTCTTCTCCCTCCTAGCAACATCCGCCCAACTTTTCGCCGTCGGCATTGGCGGTACCTTCACCCCCCCACTCCCGCTGACCCCCTCCAACGAAGCATGCACCATCCTCGGCGACGACACATCCGACTCGCTCGGCGCAGGACTCATCGTCCCGGCCGCTGCGATGGCCGCCGAGCTGGCGATGCTCGCCGTATCCCGAAAACTAAGCTCACCGACCCCCATCCTCACACTACTATTCGCACTGACAAGGCTCTCTCTCCGTTCCCGTTCCGGTTCCCGTTCGCGATCCGTCAGGCCCAATCCCAACCCGTGCTCCACCTCGTCATCGTCAGAAAACCTCGCCTTGGGTGCCGGCTCTTCCTTGCGCGCCTCAACCTTCGCCGCAGCGACTGGGCTCGGCGCTCTGCGCATGTCCATGACAGCAGCAGGGCTGTGAGCAGCGGCCGGCGGCGGTGTGCCCGCTACGCTTGTCCCGGCGAGAGACGCCTTGGACAAGCTCATGCGGCTGAAGACCGAATCGCTCATGCTGTACTGGGTGCTGTCTGTCGACTCCGGGTCGCGGTGAATGTTTGGCGTGCCGGCGCGGATCGGAGTCGTGGGATTGATGGCGCGCGGCAACTTGGAGCCCGAGTTGCGGGATCGGAGCGTGTAGCCTGTCAAGTCGGGGTTCGAGCTGCTGTGCGGGATGGCTGCTGCTGGTGATGGGCATGGGATGAGCGAGTCTCGACGCAGCGGGGCTGCTAGGGCTCCGGTTTTGGGGGTTATCCCGGTAGCGGCGGCGGCAGCGGCTTGGGAGTAACTGGGTCGGGGAGCGTGGCCGACTGACGGTGTTGTGCTCTGCTGCGGCGGTTGGGAGGGAGGCGATCGTGGCGGCGCAGTAATCGGGAGCGGCTGGGGGGGCGGCCGCGTCCGCATCGTCACGCCCGCAGAGCTGCCGGTCGGATTGGCTGTTCCGGAAACCAGTCGAGGGCCCGAGGGTGGCCGCGGGATGCCGGGACGGGCGGGTCTCCTGCTCTGCTGCTGCTCCATTTCGGCTACAACGCCCTCCAACCGTCTCCGCTCACTCCGCTCCTTGTCGAGCTGTGCTTGCAGCTTGGCAATGTTGTCTGCATGTACCTTCCTCTCATTCACCAGACGGGATTCGTACGTCTCATCCTTGGCCTTGAGCACCTGCAGCTGCTTGACCATTTCTCCGTGCCCCGCCATCAAGTGGTCTCGTTCGGCGGCAACGACCTTGAGCCTGGTGTTCATGCGATCTATCACCCAACGGCTGCTCTTCCTACAACAGCTTGAGTGGTAGACTTGGTCAATTCCACCAAGCTCAACCAGCTCATTGTTGACTTGGGAGATAACCGGTCGTGACGAGGGCGTCAGGGAAACCATTTTCGAAATCAGATGTAACACATGTCTCGGGCCGAATGTCGGCGCATTGACGTCGTCAATCTCTTGTGTCGCGAGAGCTTGAAGCTCAAGCTTGTGCAGATAGCTGTGCAGTCTCTTGAAATCCCCTGGATTGGATGACACGTGGTCGAGCATATGTTCAAACTCGTCCGAAGGGGCGTGGTGGACCACCGTGGCGATGTCAAGAAATACCATTCCTAGGGAATAGACGTCGGCTGCTCTCATAGACCAGTCGGTATCGTGGTGACGGAGCTCGGGAGCCCGCCACTTGGGCGTCCCAGGCATTCCCCTGGTCATGGTATTCTCGCGGTCATGGACGTCCTTCGAGATCCCAAAGTCGGCTAGGTAAACGCGACCCGGCGCTAGGAGGATGTTCGAGGGCTTAAGATCAAGATGGCGAACATCGGTGTTGTGGCAGTACTCGATGGCTTGGGTAATGCATCCCATCATTTGGCGAAGGTATTGAAGAGGGCAGCCAGGCCGATCTATAGAGACTTTGGGGCAGGAACGCGGCTGGTCGATAGCGCTCAAGTCTTTCAAATCCAAGGCGTGTAGGTGGCTGATGATATCTTGGCGATCTCCTTCACCAGTCCTAAGCAGGTCAATGTCCGCTAAGAAGTCTTGTAGGTTGCAGACGGCAACGGGCCACAGGAGGAGATAGAGCTTCCTTCGGTAGAAATATGTCCCGACGAGCTTCACGATGTGTTCATGAACCAGCTTGTCCATGACGTTGGCTTCGTCGCGCAGCATGTCGAGGGGATATCGAGGGTATGGCGGTCGGACCTGCTTGCGTGCCAGACATATTGGGCGGTTGTTGGCGTGGAACTTGACTTTCTGCACAACGCCGAAGGCCCCATTGCCGAGGGGGGTGTCGCAATCGAGCTTGAGCCGTTCGTGTAGCTTTTCTGATTCGGCCGTGTTGGCGAGGGGAACGTGTTTGCCTCTGTCTCCCGTCAGTCTTTCGCTCTGGGACAACTTCACCCCCTCCAACCTTGCTGCGTACATTCCGGACCAGTGGTGCCGCGACTCTTCCCACTCTTTGAGGATCTGGCGCTCACACTCCTCCAACTGAGACTGGGACAGCCTGCTCATCCCGGCATGGGATGTGGGTATGACGGTGTGCCATCCGTCTGCGACGTCGCCCATGACGGCGAAGCGGGGCCCCGTGGGGTTGGGTGGGAAGAGGGGATCAGTCGGTCGAGACGGGGCGAATGTTAGGGTCGAAGGCGGAGGGGAAAAGAGACTCGGAGGGGTATCGTGGAATCAGACTCTCGCCATAACACCGTTCCTAGACCCCAAAAAAATAAAAGCAGAGCAATGCAAAGGGTATCAAGTCGAAACGAAGACGTTTGCGGGACGGAGTCGGCACTTGATTGCAGGCCTAGGAACATTTTTCTTGCGGCAGGAATCCCGGCGTGGGAGGAGCGATGCAGAGCACAGCCCTGTTCAGCGGCTGAGTTCCGCAGGAAAGCGGGGGATGTGCAGTGGGTCCGGATGATGATCATAAGCCGCTGACAAGCCGCTCCATTGGCCAATTCTTGCAGTTTTCATCGATGATCGAAGGCCTCCTTTTTTCCATTCCTTCAATCGCAGCATCAAGATCGGAATTCATACTTGGAGTTTAACTCAGGTTACTTGACAACCAGAGAGCACCGGAACCGTCTCCTGGATACGCCGTGTTGATTCGGAATGCTTGATCAGCTTGAAAAAACAAACGCGGTGGCAGCGAGGACAAAAGGAGGACTGATGTACGGATTACATCCGCTTTGCTAACTGAGGTCTGTCTCAGCGAGCTTACACTGAACTTTTGCTCGAGCGGGCGAGCGGGTTAACGTTATCTGAAACGCTTGAATAAAAGTCGGATGGGAGAATCGCAGTGCCAACGTTGGAACAAACTCGAACGGCGGAGAGAAAGAGGGCAAATTAGCCCAGCTGACGAGAACCCCGCCCTGTCCGTCCAATGTGTAAGCAGACAACCAAGGGCTATTTGTGTTTAATTAGTGCGGCACATGCCTTGGCCAAGTACTGCGCGACTGGCCGGATCCGTACTTGCAGTTCTCTGAGTAAGCAGCAGTCCCCAGCACAAACCACAAGGATCATGAAACGTGAATGGGGATCGTTTACGAAAGGCAGCCACAAGATATGCCCGGCGATCTGATCATGTAATGATCGGAATTGTATCCCCGAGACCGCTCTTTACTCATCATCAAAAGGCAGCAACACCCGCCCGAACGGGATTCGCTGGCTTTCTCTTCAACACTCCCCCCATCGCCATCGACCCTCAACCTGATGGGGTCATCGAGCTGCGCTCCTCTTATCTTGTAACGGCCATCCGCTAGGACAGCCTGTTCAAGTTGGCACATGCTGATATACTCAGTTCGCTATCCACTTCCTCACCATTCGCTGCGTCGCTCCCTGGAACGGCTCTCTGATTACAGATACTTCGAAACAAGCAGCCGCTGGCGTACCCCGGCTGAGCTGGCACAATGCGGTACACGCAAGGCGACCTTCCAATTCTCAGTGCTGAGGTCTATGATGACAGCGCCTCGCTTGGCTCCTCGACAGCGGTAGCAACCAGAAGAAAGGCACAAGGACCCTCTCCATCCTCTCGACTCTCCGAAGATAGCTCAAGAAAGCGTGCAAGGACAGAGTTTTCGGAGACTGTTGAGCCTGACGATGAGAAGAAGAGGTCCAGGGGTCGACCTCGACTAGATACGAAGGACGAGACCGCCGCTGATGTGAGTTATCCTGTCCGGAGTGCTCTGCGCCTTCCAACGCAGGAGCGCGGTGCGGTGTCTCCCTTCATCCTTCTGCTCGTCTGACACTGCTGCAGCGGCGGCGGACTCAAATCCGTCTTGCACAACGAGCATACCGGAATCGCAAGGAAAATGCTATCCAGACATTGGAGAAGAAGGTGCAGCAGCTAAAGGACACCAACGAGGAGATGAGCAACGCCTTCATGCAGCTCCACGACTTCGCCTTGGCCAACGGCCTACTGGACCAAGTACCTGAGTTTGGCCGCCAGCTACGCAAGACAACGGAGAAGTTCCTCTCACTAGCACGAGAGGCAAGCGACGACGACGGGAAAGACGACGAGCCGAAGACCAGCGGCAACGGTAGCGGAGCTGACAGTAGATCAAGCAAGGAGCATAACCGCTCCGGTTCACCAGGCCAAGCCGGCGTCTCACCAAGAGCAGCGGGGACGAGCCCGTCAGAATCCGGCACGGACAACACGTCCAAAACCCTCATGGGCGGTCTCACAATTTCCTACGAGCCAGTCACCCAACCCTCGTTTTCGACCCCTTCCCCAGTCTTCTCTAACACCTACGAAATCCTCACCTATCCAACTCTCGACAACGCAAGCTTTCCCACACTCTCCGACCCGGGCCTAGCCATCCTCTCCGAGCGACAACAGCAGCAGCAGCAACAACAGCAACCACCCACTCCGTCCCCCTATCTCACCCTCCCCATGCCCGACAGCTACGCCCCGATGGAATCGACCTTCGGCCGACGCCTCCAGCGATACGCCATTGAGCGCGCCTTCATGCTAATCACCATGCCCTCCCCGCCACAGGACAAGATGCTGCACATCTTCGGCTTCTCCCTGCTGCTTGAATCGCCCGCGACCATCAGCCGGCGACTGGCGCGGCAGCTGGGGCGGGACGACCAGACGAGTCTGCATAACTGGCAGTACCCGTTTCTGGCGCTAGGTGGGGCGGGGACGCATTTCAGGGGTAATGGCATTAATACCCGGGGCGTTGGCGTTGACGTTGCTGATGGGGGTAGTGGAGGAAGGAAAGGGAGGAGGGTGGGGAACCAGGGGACGGTGGACGTCGGTCGGCCTGCAGAGACGACCGGTTTCGCTACGGGGCCGTTTGACGAGGTTGTGAACTCTCTGCGGGACCGGGTGTTGGATGAGGATATGCGCATGGCGCTGCCCGGGTTTGCGGGGGAGTATTTTGACTGCGATGAGGCGGAGATGTATCTGTATCAGCGCGGGGTGGTTATACCACCTGGCTCGGATGTTGTGACTGTCGATGTCGATGCCGCGTTGCTTGAGGAAAACGGTGGTGGATACGGGGCTGGTGACGGATGGATGTCGGGGTTGGGAGACATTGACATCGGTGATGCGGGGAGCGGTGGTACGTCGTCGAATCTGTCGCCGAGTAGGAGTGACGGGAGTGAACAAGGGCAGGAGGGGACGGGGACTGGCTGGGCTGTTGGAGGTGGTGCTGACTTGGTTGATCCGGCGATTGCGGACATGTTTTCGCAGCCGAATCCGTTCATGCCTATCACACAGTCTGGCCGGGGGAGTATGTTCCCCTTTGGGGCTTTGGCGCCGGACGGTGCTGGGAGCGCTGGATATGGTGTGGGGGCTACGCAGCCTAACCCTAGCCGCCGGAGAGTGGTCATTGATGCCATGAGGCTCATCAAGGGTATGCTTGAAAGTCTCCAACGGTTCTTTTCTGAACTTGCTGACGCTGTTTCCGTAGAGATGACCTCGCGGGCGATTTGCCTGGGCCGCTCACCTGGGCTCAGACAGGCTGATATTGATGCCGCGGTTCTGTCGACAGTGCGGGCTGGCTTGTTGTAATGATGTTGGTTTCCAGAGCGCGCTGGAAATGCATACGATGTTCATTACATGAGGCCAATCTCGACGTGCCTGGACAAACTTGACGAGAATACTGGGTTTTTACGGAGGACAGTAACTTGATAATTGCACGCTTCAATATCCACATCACATCGCGAAGGAGACATCCGCCAGTCATTATCGTAAGCCGCAGACACCCTTCCCTACATTCATTGCGCAGCGACAAGGACGAGGTTGTGTTAGCTGTTTCTGCTCATTGGGACAGCCCTATGAAAGCCGTATCGTTGCGGATGTTGCACGGCTCAACCCCCCTGTTAGCGGCCCTTTCCCATGTTACGGCAACACACTCAACGAATGGAAGGCCCATCGGCGTCCGGGGCACCTGGCGGGTGTATTGCTATACTCCGAGCCATCAAGTCTGTTGCACAGTCTTGGGCCCTCGCAATTCTCCGGATGTTCCCTCGTCTCCTTGTTTCCTTCCTTTGCGATTCCGTGCGTAAACCGGCCTTTTCCACACCCTCAATTGAGGTTCCTCCCCTTCTCTCCCTTCCCTCACCAGCCTCTCCCTCTCCTCCAGCAGCGCCATCTCCTGCTCAGCCAGCACAATCTGCCACATCGCTTTGGCCCGGGCAACCAGATCCTGCCTCTCCCTCTCCGTGACATCCATCGAGTACGTGAGCGCCTCCTGCAAAGTCTGCTTGTACGACCCCTCATCCGCCGCCCCCTTGCTCTCCAATCCCTTCTTCCTCTCCGCCCTCCTCTTCTCAGCCAGCAACCGCTCCATCATCCGGTCCCACGCGTCCTCCACCCCAGCCTCCTCCAACCCCTCCCACATCATCTCCATAATCTTCTCGATCCGCCGCCACCGCCGCTGCGACTTTTGCCTCAGCACCCTCTCCAGAAATCTCGGCTGCGGCTTTTTGAGCCTCAGGAACGGCACCCCCATCGTCGCGGCCAGGGTGGGCGGCTTGCGCACGCCGGACCTAAAACTCGACAGCGGGCGCGGCGGCCCCGTGGGGGCATAGACGGGCGGCTCGCCCTCGGCCGAGATTTTCTTAATGAGCGGCGTGCGGCCCTCGATCGGGGCGGTCGAGATGCGCGAGGCTGCTTCGGCTTCGCGCTTGGCCTTGACCGCCACCACGCGGGCCTGGTTCTCGCGGAGAAAGGTCAGCACGGATGCGTGCTCTGGAGTGGATGCGTCGGCAGCGCGGGAGAGGAGGGTCAGGAAGCGGTAGCCGTTTTTGAGGGCCGATATGACCAGGCGGTGGGATGTGTCGCGTTTGTTGCGGCGGAAGCCGTTGCGGATGAGGGTTCGGATCGGGTTGGCTGGACCCAGCGGGGAGTTCGTGATGAGGTCATCTGGTAGGGGCACGCGCAGGCCTTGGCGGAGGAGGGAGCGGTACAGGGCAAAGCCTGGCGACAGATGGCATGGTGTGAGTGGATGATGGAAAGGTGGCGGTGGTGTTCTGATGTCTTACATGCTGTGCGGTGCCGCGAAGAGCGGGCTGGGACGAAGAACGACGGCATTCATCTGGTTGTCAAAATGATGGCATCAGGAGGTGCATTGATGCATTTGATTGAGCTGCGGCAAGCTCCGAAATTTCGGAAACGCAAGAGTTGGGCACGCGACCACGGGCAAAAGTCAGCGACACGAGATCACGTGAGATAATAAGGCTCAGCAAAAAGGCACGAAGGGAGACGATTACGCGATGTGTGCTTCTTAATGGCGCTAAATGTGTTTCCGTAATGAATAAAAAGGCCCAGCATTGGTAGTCGAATCTGGCCTGGATCCCGCGGTGCAATTCCATTCCATCCATATACCCTTCCGAACGTCCCCGGAATCGACCCGTTGGCATGTGATAGGCGTGACGTTACTCCTCATTGGTAAATCTCGTACTTGGATCCCTCCGGCGGCTGGGGGAGCTTTTTGTTCTCGTCCATATATCTACTCGTAGGTCAGCATCAGCCGCCCATCGACGCCGGGCAGGGTTGTTCGTACTTCCTTATGGAAATCAGGGCCGTCTCTAAGCTCAGGGGATCCTCCTTCGGCCTTGCATTCTTGGCCAGTTCCGCAGCAATCCGGCTCCAGTCGCGGAGGATGGGGATCGCGTTCTTGTCCACCTTGCCGTCCGTCGGGCTGACGCCGGGGAGGTTGATCTGGCTGACGAAGTGAATCTCGGGCGGCTCGTTGGGGTAGTTGGGGCCACATTCCATCTTGAGCTCGTAGATGCGGTTCTCGTGGTTCCCCTGGGTTGCAGGCGGTCAGCAAAGGGTGTGCGCTCTCGAGCGGACGTAGAGGACGTAGGGGCTGGCCGGTGGCGCTTACGTGCGGAGGGCCCCAGATAGTACCCCGCCAATGTGTCATGTAGATGTCCTCGGGATCCTCAAGACCATACGAGCAAGCACCTAGGGAGTAGGCGAACCATCCGTCAGTATGTGCATCCTGAACCGGCAGCACCGCACGGCACAAAGCAGGGAGACATAGGAAACCGTACCTGCACCCATTCCCTTCTCTCCCTTCTCCAGCTCGGCGAGGAGCTTGAAATTCCGGGGCACCTGGGCTGCCATGACGATGTGATTGCCGGAATACCTTGTACGTGGTTTTTAGGGCACAGAGTCGGGCGGCAGTCGGCGACCGGCAATCAACAAGTTGCGAAGATCAAGCAATGGAACCTGGAACTGTTGGGCGAAACCGAGCGGCAGCAGGAGAGGGCGCGGGGATCCTTGTCGACAAACTGCAGGTCGCAGCTTCCAGCTTGAATGGAGGGGCTGACAGGGCGGTGTGAAACAAAGTCTGAATTAGTCATGCAGTGGGCGCCGTTGGCTTGGCAGCCGCTTTCAGGTTGCCCACTTGGCTGCGGTTGGCTGAATGTTCTCATGCCGGAGTGCCTCACCAAAGGGCAATGTGGAAAGAACACCCGAGACACCTTAGTGACCAGCTCTGTCTTTCACAGCCACGCCAGTTTGACTTTCGGGCTACGATGCGGCAGTAGCGGAGATTACCACACCTTATCTTCGCGATGCAAATATGACCGCTCAGCTATTGGCGTCGGAGTTGGCGAATCTCATTCAGGAGAGTAAGCGCAAACACAACGACCTGCGCCAGGTGTGTAATTCCCGTGCACCGCACCGTGCCGTGCTGAACGGCATGACTTGAGAGGAGCCGTCCTTCCCTGAGTTTTGGTCATTCCCCAGTCACCTTCAGAACGTAGCTGACTTGCATCAGGCAGCCGAGAAGTCCCTCGATGAGCTGCGGAGTGTGAAGACAACATCTGAAGCTCAAACATCTGAAGGTGTGTGCATCTCATCGTTGTCCTCCCCGCCCAGCACATCGCTTACACAGCATCAAAGACCTTGCCCAGCACCCAAACTTCGTCAACCCCTTCATCATTGCCTGCGGTACCAAGAATGTCAAGTTCACTGGTATCGCCATCGTCTGTCTGCAGCGCCTCATTGTGTCTCGAGCTTTGCCTCGGTCGAAGTTGAGCCAGGTCTTGGAGGCTCTGCAACAGGCCACGTCAGCCGGCCTCGATGTGCAACTCAAGATCCTCCAGGCCCTCCCGGCCCTGCTTGCGAACTATTCTGTTGATGTCAAAGGGGAGCTTTTGGTTACCGCTCTGAATGTCTGCTTTATCCTGCAGTCCAGCAAAAATGCCATCGTCAACAACACGTCTGCTGCCACGTTGCAGCAACTGGTGGTCTCTGTCTTTGACAAGGTCGTAGCCGAAGACAGTGAGTCGCCCCTTGTCGCATCTGCAGGCATGGATGGCAGCTTGCTAAATACGGCAGAATCCGCCGCCGAGGTGCCCGCCGTCGGTGAAGTTCCCGTCCGGGATGGCGCCGTCCCGCTCAAGGCTGCTGCCATGGATGCGTACAGGGTACAGTCACCTTTCAAATCTTCTGGAGCTTACACTGATGATTTACAGGTTTTCAACGACATCTGCCTACTGACAGAAGGCCAGCGGCCCGAGTACCTTCGTGTCTCTGGGCTCGCCCAAACCTTCGGCCTTGAATTGATCGAATCGGTTCTAACCAATCACGCCGGCATATTTTCCGCGCATCCCGAACAAGTCAACGTCTTGCGAACACGGGTGATGCCCTTCATCATCAGTGCCTTGCGTGGCCGACCCAACTTTGCCATCAGCGTCCGCCTAGTGCGCATCCTGTACACTCTCCTCAGACGCCACCTCTCCCTTTTACCATCGGAAAGCGGGGATGCATTCGACATCTTGACCCAGCTCCTAGACCAAGACACGACCTCCTGGAAACGCGCACTGTGTATGGAGGTGTTCAGGGGTATTTTCGCCGAGCATGCCTTGCTGCGGCGCATATTCATGCTTTACGACGCACAACAAGGCCAGAAGCGCGTTCTGAAGAACCTGACGGCTACCTTCGTCCGCGTCAGCACTGAAAAGCCATCTGTCATCGGTTTGGGACACCAGTCGACCATTCCCGTCGCCAGCCTAAACAGCGGGCCATCAAGCGACCAGGTCATGCTCGAGGCAAGCGGAGTGACCGGTATCATCGCTGGCTCGGTGACCTCTGATGGCCACAACACCGGTATAAGCACCCAGTGGAGCATGATGCGGGTTCCCTGCATTGATCAGCTCGACAAGACAGACGCTCCCATAATCCCAGAGTCTTACGTCTACAGCCTTACACTGGCCTGCATCACATCGCTTTCCGAGGGGCTTGCCAAGTTCATTCTTCCCTTGACAGTTCCGAATGACGGACGGAGAAAACGAGGCCTGAAGCAAGAAGCTGGCCGTGACTCGCCTGCGCCCCAGTCCCATGAGACTCCTGAGAAGCTGGAGCGATCCGCATCGTTCAAACGAAACCCTGTACCCGTCAATCCGTTAACCCTAGAGAGTCACCCTCTTTACCAGGACATCAAGGCTTGCTCTGCCTTTATTGACGAGTGCTGGCCAGCCATCCTGGCCACTTGCTCAACGTTCCTCTACGCTGCCCTCGACTCCGAATACTACCACGGCCTTGTCCGGGCGTTCCAGAAGTTTGCTCACGTCGCGGGGCTGCTCCAGCTTGCCACTCCCCGCGACGCGTTCTTGACAACCCTGGGAAAAGCCGCCGTCCCCCCAAATGTCTTGACTGCGTGCATGAATGCCGGCACAGTCCGGCCTCCGCCAAGCCCCGCTGCCATAGAGGGATCTGGCAACATCTTCAGTAATGCCCGAGGGTTGCTGAGCGTCGACAGTCTTGTCAGCCCACCCATAGCCGCAACTGAGAAGCAGAGGCAGCATTCGTTAGACGCCAGCAATGCCACTCTCAACACCAGGAACCTGTTGTGTTTGAGGGCCCTCTTGAACCTCGGCATTGCGCTCGGCCCAACGCTCGCCTCATCATGGAGTATCATTCTGGAAACTCTCCAACAAGCTGACTTGGTCATGTTCGCTTCCGGCAAGGCCGCAGGAAGGACGCCACTGGCAGCCAAGGGACTTGATCCTCAAGCAGAGCAGGAAGCGAGTACTCTGCTTGCTAACTTCAATACCGAGGTTCGGGCTGTTGAGACGGCAGCATCTCGCCTATTCGAGAGCACAGTCGATTTTCCCAATCCTGCCTTTGTCGAGATTGTCGGCGCCGTATGCAATTTGCTTGAGCATGCCGAACCTCCCTCCGAGGCAGGCAGCCGCCCACAATCGCCACCCTCCACTGGAGGGCTGAAGACGCCTTCAGTTCCGCACAAGCGTGTCATGAGCGTCTCGTCACCTTCTTCGGCAGGACCAAACCAAGAAAACCAATTCGCCCTGACGAAACTTGGCGATCTCGCCTCCATCAACATCGAACGGCTGTTGGCCTACCCTCCTGACGTCTCGGGTTGGGCAACTTTGGTCAATGAACTTGTATGCGCTCTGAGTTCTGTGTCGAACACCGCGCCCGTTAGAGCTCGTGCCGCAGAGACTCTCGTCCGCATGCTCCTTGAGGAGGCTGGAGCCATTGCTCCTCAGCCGGAAGAGATCAGAGGGCAAATCCAGAGACGGCTTCTTGAGGCGTTCCGTGACTCCCTTGTCCCCTTCCGAGCCTTGGACCGCGGTGCGTCAATTGCAACCAATGCTGTCGACGTAGACATCCACAAAGTCATACTCGAGGGTCTGAAGGGTCTCCTCGAAAATTGCGGCGAGTCCCTGGTCAGCGGCTGGGAACTCACTTTCGAAATCATCGACAGCATTTTTATCCGGCGAGACATTAGCCCAGAGGAGAACGCAGATCCAACGGGCCAACGAGCGACGTTCGTTACGCGTGCCGTGAAGCTTATCCGCCCGTCGTTTGCTTCCCTTCAGTTGATATGCTCCGACTTTCTGCCTTCCTTGCCTAACGCATGCTTTCTTAACCTTGTCGATACCCTATACAAGTTCTGTACCCAGGATGATGAACTAAATATTGCGCTGACGGTAAGTGGTGCCCCTGAACTGTCATGTATACAGCTAACTGTCAAGAGACCGTCACATTCTTCTGGGCCATTTCAGATTTTCTTTCCGCCAAGAGTAAGTCCATGGCGATCACGGAAGATATGATTTCGGGTCCGGGAGATGAGCCTCTGCTCATGCTGGCGGCGGAACCTTTCGAGAAGGGCTCCGGCGCTCCTTTGTGGATGCTCCTCCTCCTGAGGCTAACGGCGGTTGCGATGGATCAACGGTTGGAACTGCGGAACAGTGAGTTACTGCAACCTCTCTCGATCCGGACTGCAGCTAATTCAATAGGCGCCATCCAAACATTGATGCGGATAGTGTCTGCATACGGAGAGAGCCTCAGTCCAGAGGCCTGGTCCGTTTGTATGAGGGCTGTCATCTTTAGACTCTTCTCCTCAGTCGAGCGCGAGCTCAGTGACACTGACGAACCCTCCACGAAGGATAAGAGCCACGCCGAATGGCAGGACACAGCAACGGTCGTTATCCAAGGGGTGTCGGACCTGTTCTGCTCATATCTTAACCTCCTCACTGCGCACGCAAGCTTTCCGGAGATCTGGCATACTCTTATCGGCACCTTCCGCACTCTTTTGGACCTTCGTATTCTCGATATCAACGCAGCCACGTACATTTCTCTCCGAGACATTCTGCACAGGCGTGCGGAGCAGGAGACATCTGGCTTCGGCAAGGAAAGCCTGGACCTGGCGTGGGAGATGTGGTCGCACGGGATACCCGTTTCCGGGGGCGGCAAAGATGAGACATCAGAAGATAACCAGAAGTGTCTGGTGGTTTGGGTCGAAGCCCTCCACGAGCTCTACAGGTTGATCCAAGCCGACTTTGGCGTTGAGCAAGTTCGCCGCATGCTCACCCTTCTTCGCGATGCCATGCAGCACGCAACCCCAGGAGCATACGCTAGCGATACTGAGTATGTCACTCCCCTTCAAGCCAAGATTCTCGAGGCCTTCCGCATGGTACGCACCGACTTGCATGGCATTCCTTCTGCCATGATTACGCAGGTGGCCGAATTTGTCTCCCTGGCTTTCACCCGGGAAGACCCTGCACAGGCAGCAGGGGAGCGGCGCACATATGTCGCCATGTCCAAGGAGAGCATGTCCATCCTTGAGTTGCTCATCGTCAACAATGCCTGGGAAAGAGACATCTACGAATCGGGTGCTTTCGCCACGGCCTTGTCTGCGCTCGCCAAGCCCGTCATGCTGAAGTACCAGTTCAGGGTCGTCACCAAATCAGTCCAGCCATGGAGAGTTGCAACGCAGTCGGCTCTAGCTGTTCTCAAAGCAGCGCTTCCGCATCTCCGTACTATGGATCTTCCTCCGGGCATAATCCACCACATCTGGGCGATCATCGTGTCCATCGCCAATAGCATCATTAGTGCCGACTTGACCGTCCTACCAGAAGAAGGCGTCGACATCTTGGGCGATCAGGATTTGGACATGGTTGCATTCCGAAAGCTCCGTCAACTCATCATTCCCGCCCTAGGTGACGAGCGTGTCCTCGAGCAAACAAGGAAGACTTACGCGGAGGGGTTGTTCCGCACATCAATCATCCATGCCCCGGCACCGATCGAAGCGGCAGCAATCTATGGCCAAGAGGGCGGTGATCGCCTGAGCCTCAGCTCCTTCTACAAGAAGCGCAATGGCCGCACGATCGATCCACCTCCGAACAGGCGGGCCCTCATGAGCGAAGTGTGCCTTGACGAGCTCTTCTCGCTCGTGGAGGCGCACAAAGAAGTGGGAGGGGCTGCCGGTGATGCAATCGCCGGCGAAACGAATACACACGCTCTGCACGTCCGCCTCGCCCGCACCGTGGCGCCGTACCTGATTCTCCGCTGTGCGCTGACGCTTCGCGGCTACGTGGCGGACCAGCCGCTCAGGGGCCGCATGCCGCAGCCCCTGTCGCAGCGCAAGGAGCTTATCCGTATCCTGCGGTGTCTGGTGGAGTTGAGGTCTGAACCCGAGGCGATCTCGGACGCGATGAATGTAGATAGTGAGACGCGGAAGCATCTGCTGAGGCTGTATCCTCTGTTGGTTAGCGCGGTGCAGGTCGCGGGCACCGCGGGTGATGAGGAGGTGTTGGGGTTGATTAGGGAGGCGCTCAATGTGGTGGGCGGGGAATTTGGATTATGATTTGACGGGGCCTTAGTAGCAGGATTTGTCGAATCCATTGTTGCAAGTTGGCTGAATTACCGTGAGCGGTCCAATGAGTCCATGTCTACGCCATGCCTCGCTTTTCTCTTAAGGTCCACGTCGGTGGAATAAATAATGATACAGCCGATATCCGCGTTCCTCTTGTCCTTCAAACATACACTGCCAGCTGGCGCATGGGCTGTCTCCCAACTGCCCAGTGTTGGGGCATGTGTCTTACCGTCTAAGCGGCTAACTCCGTCTTCTCGTCCTTCTCATGCTTCCGCTCCACACTCGCGGTCCCAACCTCGATTGCTTTGTTCTTTTCCAAGATACTCTTCGCCATTGTTTTCGCCTGCGCGTCCCCAACCTTGCCGTACACACTCAGCGCCGTGGCAATCATGCCGCCGATATCCCCCACATTGCCCGGCACTACCACGGCCGTGCCCTCCTTGGCCAGCTTGCCGAACGCGTCGACATACTTCTCCGCCACGGACAGGCTCACGGCGCCCTGGGCCGCGTCCTTGCCCTCGGCAATCGACCGCGCAACAGCCTCGATGCCCGCCGCCGTGGCCCGCGCCCGCAAGAGAATCGCCTCGGCCTCGCCGGCGGCCTTGTTGATCTTCTCAGCCCGCACGGCTTCGCTGGCCAGGATGGCCGACTGCTTCTTGCCCTCGGCGATGTTGATGGCGCTCTGCCGCTGGCCCTCGGACTCGAGAATCTCGGCGCGCTTCGACCGCTCCGCCGTCACCTGCCGGTGCATGGCTTCGACCACGGGCTTTGGCGCGTGGATGTCGCGGATCTCGTACCGCAGGCACGTCACGCCCCATGCCTGCGCGGCCTCGTTGATGGCGGCCGTGATGTTTGTGTTGAGCGCCGCGCGCTCCTTGAGGACGTGGTCGAGCGTGAGCTGGCCGATTTCGGAGCGCATGGTGGTCTGCGCGAGTTGGGAGATGGCATATTCGGCGTCTTCGACGCCGTAACTATATTATGTGCTAAATTAGCATAACGTTGGTGGGGTTAGGAGGGAGAAAGGGAGGGCATACCTCGCCTTGTAGGCGTCAAAGACTCGCGTGTAGAGCACGCCGTCGAGCTCGAGGGTGACGTTGTCAGCGGTGATGGCGCTCTGCGAGGGGATCTCGATGGCGACTTCCTTGAGCGACTTGACGTAGGCGATGCGGTCGAGGAAGGGGATCAGGATGGCCAGCCCCGGCTGCAGGATGCGGTTGAACTTGCCCATGCGCTCGACGATCCAGGCGGTCTGCTGCGGCACGAAGCGGATGATGGTATTCATGGGGAGTGACGCTGACTTTTGGAAGTATGTCGGCGGCATCATCCCGGGCCCGAGGCCGCTTGGGAGCGCGTTGTGTGGAGTGGTGTGGAAGGCGCGGGCGGATTGGGAATCGGTGGTGTTGATGCTTCTTGGTGGTGAGGTCTTGGACAGTGTCTTAATGGTCGTTGGCAAAGCTCGAGAGGCGCGAGTCGAGGCTTCGAGGCCCGCCCGTACGGCAGGCGCGAGCGCCCTTTGTGCTGTTGTGGGCAACATGTTGGCGACAGCCTCACATTGGCGTTGGAGAGTTTCGGTCGTGTTTTGAGGATGGAGCTCTCTCAGAGCCGCAGTCAGCAATGTCGACGTCAGTGCTTTGTTTCCCTTGGACCCACAACTGAAAGAAGCTTTGCCGATATCCGGGACAAGAATTCAACTATACCATTTATCTTACCTGCGTACTGGTAATTACATGACAATACACCGCTTTCGGCATATCGGAGTTCAAAGTCAGCGTAGGTGGTCATTGTTCCCGGCCTCGGGAGAACGTCTGGTCAGGCAACATTACCCATCCAACTCATGAAGCTAACTTGACCACTTGTGCTCGTGTATGCTTCCAACGCGAACAAGGTTATTGCCATTCTCCAGTGCCACAGCTCCTGTCAAATAAGAGTGGGGATGATAGGAAGGTTGGAAGGATCAATGATAGCATGCCACGAAAGCCATTGGCTCGAGGGAGTTCGTTGTGGGTGACGCGTTTATTACTGTCGCCAATTGTACAAGTACCATAAGTGCTCGTAAAGGTGAGGCCTTTATCGCTTGTTAGTCCAACTCCTCAAATCTCACATCACCCGGCCAAGTACCGTACTCCACCCCGAAGAAAAATGAACAACCTAATATGGCGATGCCACTGTCCAGCCAAACCCTTTTTCCAACCCAGGTTTTACGGCCTTATCCTTGTAGAAGACGCTCGAACCATCCATGCGAGATGAAGTCGACAGAAAACATTCAGTGCTCTAGGTCGTTCATGGCTTGCCAGAACATGCGGTCCTCGGCGGTGCGCTCTAGAATCCGGATCGGTTAGCACTGAGTCCCAGGAGACATAAAGGCGTCTCGTTGCTTATAGCCATCGCTGGAGATGACCATGGCTCACCACGAAGAGCGCTTTCGAAACAGCGGTAATACAAAATTCCCACCCCGTCGCCAGCGCGCCAGGCCTCAGCGCCGCTGTGGCGAGCGCCTTGTTGTAGAGTTTCCTCCCTGTGGCTCTCCACTTGTCGGTTGAGCTCCTCCCTTGTGATAATGCACTTGAACTCAATAACTTGGTCCGGCCTCGTTGCCAGTCCGATGACTTGCGCGGCCTGCCATCCTGTCGCGTTGCCGATTCTTGTTAGCTTGGTGTCGGCACCGTCACCGCTATGACACTCCGCTACAAGTTGGGCGAACGCGACGGGGCTGCAGCAGCGAGGGTTAGCAAGCGCGATCGGTCAGGCGGCGAGAGGCAAAGCACTCGGCGATGGTGCGGGAAAACCCTCAATGGGGAACTTACTAATCATCGTGATCGACATCGCCGATTTCGTCCTCTTGGATCATTCCCAAAAAACCTCCAAGACTAAGAAGAGTAAACCCAGTTGACCTGCGTCCCTGTTACATCGTTAGCTTGATGCGGGCGCCGCCATGACTATTTGACTGCGCTGCAGGTTTGGGTCCAAGAGGGCAGCACGTACGCGAAAGGTTGCTCAGATCGATGATGGGGTTAGGCGGCGGAGCTGCCACGGCGACGGTTAGCAACCGTGATCGGTCAGGCGGCGAGGGTGTTGCGCGAAACTCCCATGGAGATCTCTCCAACTGTGAGAATCGCCATGGTTTATTCGCGACAATGATTTCTCGTTCCTTATGAGCTTCGTAAACCAAAAAATAGGTTGAGTCGCTTAGATGGTCGTGGTTTGGCTGCGTTGCACTTCTGTTTGACGAGATCAAGAAGGTGGGGTGAGTAATGCATTGAGGCGACCAGTGATGGAATTTGTCTTCCTAATGGTTTTAAGATCTTGGTGAGTTCTCAGTATGAATCACACGAGTCCAGATAGGCAAAGAAGTTGCGATCTTGATCTTCCTCAATCCGAGTTATCAACCAGATCTGTTAGCTCCAAAGACAACACGCCTGTAATAGTCAGCGCCCCAGGCACCAGAGTAGCTCACCGTTAAGAACGCCCAGAGACTCACCACGAACATGAATCCAATCGCATCCCGAAAGAGCCAAGCCTTGGCTGCTCCCTGGGGAGCATCATGCTCCATCTCGATCTCGTTCATGCGTTCCTCAGGACGGACAAACTCTTCATTGGCAAGGATTGGCATGAAAGCGGTGATTTGGTCAAGGCTTGTGGCATGCTCCATGACCTGTCGAGCTTGCCAGCCCGAAATCGATTGTTAGCTTGGTGCTGCCACTGGAAATTGCGGTGCAGGCTCGAGTCTAGAAGACGAGACGACGTACGTGCCAAGCTCCGCAGGTGGACGTAATGCCGACGAGGCGGCGTGGTGAGAGACTGGCAAAACCTGGCCGATGTGTTCGAGCCGGAGCCGCTGCAGCTAGGGACTGAATGGGAAATGCATCGCTAGTCCAAGAGTTGGCCGGAATGTCGTGAAGGATCTGTTTGGGACAGTCGACGAGCAAACTTGACAGAGGTGGGCGGCGAGGGAGGGGAGGAGGAACTCCGCGATACTGCGGCAATCTCTTGTCGAAACAATTCCCCCGTTAGCTCAAATCATGAACGTTGATCGTGTTTCGCCCATGTTGAAGCGAACCGTTATGCGTGCTGAACAGAGTATAATGCTTGCAAAGAGAGAGAGAAAGAAGGAGGCAGTTTCTTCAGCGGCGTGCTGGAAGACTGGATTGGTTAGCCTGGCTCTTCGGGAGCAAACGCGACAGTTCTCAGGCGTAAGTGACCTGTGACTCACCCTCAAGAAGAGTGGTAAAGCATTTAAGTAAGTGGGCAAAACCAAAAATCGCTAGCCATAGCACCGAAAAGAAATGTCGAACGGCGCCCTTGTGGCGACTCAATGGCAAGCTGGACGGACCAGATATTGCTCAGGCCAAGTTCAACATATAGCTTTCTCTATAATCGGCTCTATGGTTCTCTGAAGACGAGATTGTGGGTGGGATGCGTCCAGGTACAGTACATCTGTCCCTGCAAGTTCTTCGTCCGTCTCGCACCAACAGTCTCAGGGATTCAGCCTCCAATCATACATCAATCAACACCTCTTCGCCTTAAAGTGCCCGTTTCGGCAAATTGAACCCCATCCTGGGCGAAAGAAAGCCATGGACCAGGAAATGACTGCGGCGACTGGAATCGTGACTGTCAAAGCCTCAAAATACTGGTCAAGACGGTTGAAGTCTGCCCAAAACGCAGCATCCTCAGCGACACGTGCTAAAACCAGATCAGTTAGCTCTAGCTTTCTGGAACCAAACCGCACCGACTGTACGTAAGGTGCAGACGACTGTGACTCACCATTCACGACGCCAACGAAGGCGACGTGAACCGCAAAAGCAATGCTGAATTAAACGATGACGCTGTGAGCGCAGAACGGCAGATCCCCCGCCTCCTCCCCAACTCCCCCAAACATATTTTAGATGCAACATCACACTTTTCTAAAACTGGGTCGTCAAGAAGCTTAAAAACTAGTCCACGCAATCCTAGGCCACACCACACATACACGGAGGGCAAGTGTAAATTCTATATATGACTAGACCTATAGAATATAAATCCGTTGTCTACTTTAAGTAAGGATGCAAGTACAGCGCATCAATATCCTGACAAGAAAACGATTTTACATCCAAATAAGTGGGAGGCGAAAGGGGGGTGTGATCTGGCGTTCTGCGCTCACTGCATCTTCGTTTAATTAGAGCAATCTCGGCAGGCAATTCCGCAGATTCAATGCGCATGTTCGACCACATGTGCATTGAAGTGACTGTACCGGAAGAGTTGAGAGTGTAAAGCATACATACATGTATGGTAGTAAGTACCTTACTGTCAGCGCATTACAGGAGTCAAACTACAGTACCTTAACGATACATGAAACAAATCCAAGCCAAACCGAGCAGCGGTAACCTTTACCAAAGCAGCCAGAGCCTGGTTTGCTTTAACTTGGTTTGACTGGGCTCACGCACATACATGATACATTCTGGTTGGGAGCCTGACAGCTTGAATTCTTCTGACTGGGAGCTGCCGTTCAAAGCACTTGAGCGGTTTCAGGGCTACCGGCTCGCGCTCAGTCAGCAACCCTTGGCTCCTCCACATGTGCACATTTTCATTTGCCTCGTTAGTAGTCGCTTCTTCCAAATTTCTGCTCGCAAACTACGCAGCGGCCCAATGCCAAATCAGCAGCGGCGCAGCCCATATCCCCATATCACCATTCGAGCAATTGCAGCACATGTATGGGCCGCTCAAAGCCACGGAGGCAAAAGCGGAATGGCCTCTATCGCCCCTGGGCAATACCCTTACCGCCCCCTCAGCCAACAAAAAGACGAACCCGAGATTCGTCTTCTCTCCATCACCTACCCACCCGCCGGTTCTTCCTCTTCCTCACCACAACAACTTAAACCCCCGATCAACGATGACCATACCTGCCTCCTCACCCTCACCCACCACCGCCTTCCCCTTACCCCTCCCAGCACCTACACAACAGAGCCACCGAACCCACCATCCTTTGCCGCCCTCTCCTACGTCTGGGGCCTCCCCACCCCCGGCCAAGACCCACCCCAGATCCAAATCGACGGCTACGCCGTCCCGGTGACCGCCAACCTGCATGGGGCGCTCTCTCGGCTCCAGCGCCAGCGCTTCGCGGGGCACCTGTGGATCGACGCGCTGTGCATCAACCAAGGCGACGCGACCGAGAAGAGCGCGCAGGTCGCGCTCATGGGGCGCATCTACGCGCTGGCGGAGCGCGTTGTCGTGTGGCTGGGGTCGACCCGGGAGGAGGAGCGGGCCGGCTGTGGCGCGCTGCGAGACGTGGGGGAGTTGGGGGCGCTGTTTCGTGAGCAGGTGCTCGGCGTGCCGCAGGGGTTGGCTGGGGCCTGGGAGGGTGGGAGGGTGGAGGGGTTTGTTAAGACTGTGGTTCAGTTTGCTGTTACGGCTAGTACTGAGAGTGCTGACGCTATTGCAACGGGCGGTGGGACTAGTGTGAGTAAGGGTGATGGTGACGGTGCTGAAAAGCAACCAGAGCAGCAGCGGGTGGGGTTTGACTTTGAGGCGATATGGCGGCTCTTACGGGAGCGACCGTGGTGGCGCCGTGTGTGGATCATCCAGGAGGTTGTTTTGGCGCGGCAGGCGGTGGTGCTCTGTGGTGAGAATCCCGAGTTGCCAGGGGCATCAGTCCCGTGGGAGGACGTGAGGGACTGCCTGCGGCTCTTCGAGTGGATGGTCCTTTATCCGAATACTGGGCCAGAACATACTCGGCTGTATGCGCTCCTGGGAGACATATACCCCAACGTGTCACACCTTGCTCTGGCGTCGGACGGGTATAGACGCAGTCTGGAGAAGTGGGTGGCCCAAGGGCACTCGGACGGGCCTGATACATCCTCAGCAACGCGAAGTCCATATACCGGCCTTCCGGTGCTCGACATAATGATGTGGACTTCATTCGGGACAAGCACTGGCGCGTCCATTCTCGCCACTGACCCTCGAGATCGGATATACGGTCTCCTGGGCATGGTGCGGGAAGAAGACCGTCGGAGGATACCCATCGATTACTCGCCCGACATGACACTTGGAAAGGTGCTCTTTGCGGTCGGCAAAGCGCTACTCGAGGACTATGGGCCGGATATGCTCAGCTTTTGCCATAGGACCTTGCTGTCTCCCGCAGGATTGCCTTCCTGGGCGCCCGACTGGACGGCGCCGCGTCTCATGCCCCTCATAGGAGGCGTTTTCTTCGGCAACGAGAAGGATGCACGAGGTCGAGGGGACGCTAGCAAGGGGGCCAGCTGGCGAGATTGGGCCACAAAATGTCAAATTAGGCATGCCGCGTACGAAAATCCGGTCGTCTCCCTGCAGGGGGTTGTTGTTGGGCAGGTCGGTAGCCTTGGACGAGAGTTCAAAACCGCGCCGGACTCGCCCAGTTACCTCGACAATTGCCGCGACTGGCTGGTAGAAGTCGAAGAGATGGCCAAAATGCGTAATGCTCGGGGGACTGCCGTGCTTGATGAGATCTGGCGAGTTCCCATGGCCGATTTTGGCCTTGGAGCGCGAGCTGACGTCGAGGGCGCTGCGAGGTTCAGGCATGGGTTTGATGTTTTAATGGGCAGGATACCGCCGCCTTGTTCAGAGGTAAAGAGCGGCGCGACGACAAGCTGGGTCTCTGCCGAGTCTTGGGATTATCGCCGTGTTTGGAAAATTTACGAACGACGGGCTTTTGTGGATGATGTTGGGCGCCCTGGGCTGGGGCCAAAGGACGCAGCCGTCGGTGATCAAATTGTGGTTTTTGCCGGGGCACATGTGCCTTTTATTGTCCGCCAGGAGCTGGCTTCTCAGCACAGATATCGTGTTCTGGGGCCGGCTTACGTCTACGAAATGATGGACGGCGAGGCGCTCACTGGCGGTGTATCATTCCGCGTGATGGACATCATTTAACATTCCGTGGTCGAGGGTAACGAAGGTCTTTTGGGTCTTCGTTTGGGTCAGTCGAGTGCATACAATGAGTGCCATACAGCTCGAGATTAGGGTTAAACACTGGTGGATGATTTGGCATGTGATTATTGGAGAGGGCGAGGAGAACTCGGGAGCCGGCGACTAGAGCACGGCTAAAGAACTCAGGGAACTCGCCGTTCCGTTGTGGCCGATACACCGCGATCATCGCGATGCCACTCACCGCATGGAACATGGCCTCAACTTTCTCAGTGGCCCTCCCGGGCAGCGCATAGCGCTTGGCCATAGCTGTTGAGACCGTCCTCAAACCGCTCACGCCGTGTGCCATGTCACCAAAAAAGAAAGTGAATGCTGTAGGAGGTCGCCAAATCGCTCAGGATAACTCGAACGACTCAAGTGATGTAGAAAAACTCGAACAGGACTTCATACAAAAGATACGTCTGACCCGGCTTATCGACGCACCAGACCACAGTTTCTGTCCTCACCACCAGTTCTCAAGAAGGCGCTGCGGCTGGTTGCGCGTTGCGCTGACATTCCCTTTGCTGTCCCACGGACTCCTCGTCTTATATGATCAGTTCTGCAAGGTATATCGTATCGGAAGGTGTGGTCATATCACCGATCTAGGTGGGGTGATAGTGAACTCGCCAGTCAGGTAAGTCACCGCGCAGAGGTAGAACATTCAATCGATGGAGTCCCCTCCCGGCCGCTCTCGACCAGGCAGGTGGCCAGGTCAGCTTGAATCCGGGCGTCAGGGTAGCAGTTCTGGGTGCGATGGACGCTCATTACCGCTTAACGCGGTCAAGATCTGAGTTTGTCAACGAGGTCTTAATGCCGTAGACTCGGAGGCCAATGGCTGCCGCAGACGTTCGTTAATAGAGTTCCCATTACAGGAGTACGGTGTACCTTGGGACCAAGCGGACTATCGGAGAAGGCGTCTTACAGTCTTCCTCAAGAGTACCAAACCAGTTGTTTCTCCTGCGCCCCAGGCCTGGATGCGCCACAGGTCGCATCCAGTCCTCTTGCATCGCGATCTCGCCGATGCAGTCCCCCAAATGGACCGAGCCGTCTATGGCGAGGAAGCGCATGAACTCCGTACCTAATGGATATCTTCTCATAGAACGCACTCCTTATTGCCCGCCAACTTCTCCGTGGCGACAACTCGCATAAACTCAGTCACTAGACTGAGATTAGTGCCGCGCTGAATTATTGAACTGGACTTCCGTGCCTGTTGCGTTGAGAACTGATTTCTACCGGGGGCTCGGGTCTCAAATCATTGTTGGCCTTGTACTCTGCAATAATTATTATTATTATTATTCCTACACCGCTGTGCCCTAGGGCGTGCCGGACCTTCAACAGCTTACTATACAGGAAAACCGCGCCCTCGTGGGCCGGGTGAAAAACCCGTATCGACAATCAAGGAAACGATCAGTGTGCGATCCTGCAAATACAAAGTGGGAAGGCCTCTTGGCCTTCGAAGGAAAGGGTATCAGACTGCGAACTCCAGCTCCAGCCTCCTGGCCAGACCGTACATCGGCAGTTTCCCCGAGTCCATCAGCCAGTCCAGGATCCTCCCCGTTAGCCGTGCAGCTTTGGGACTGATTCCCTGTAGGACAGAATAAATGTCCCTTCGCGTTCTGACCTCGGCTCTCTCCCATCTTTGAGTCAACGGTGGGGCCAAGCACCACATCACAAGGTGTTCGACAGTCTCTCGCCCCTCTCCGCACTCGCATATAGGCGTCAGAACCTCTGGGACTCTCCTTTCGAATAAGAAAGCCCGAAGGCCTATAGCCCCGGTTCGAATCTGAATCAACAGTGAACTCTTCGCTCTGCTGAGGCCGTCGTGTCTCCTTAGGGTTTTGTCTTGGAAATAGAGTCTCATGCTGGTGGTCAATGTCATCTGCGGGCCTCGTTGCTGTCCGGCCGTCTCGTTCCTTGAGCCACCTCTCTCTCCAGGCCTCCTCCATGACTCTGTCCGTGTCGGCAGTCTCTGCAATGATTTCTAAATTGCGAGAGAAAATAGTCAGATTTAGGCGACGCTTCTTCGGCGTTGAGAGTATTCGCAGCTCACCATTCTTGTAGTTTAAAGCGCTGAAGTAAAACAGCTGCTGAGCGGGATCATCACGATCCACAGCCACCTTGCAGCTGATCGAGACATCTTGCTTGATCTTCGCCCACGGGCAAAGATCTTCGGCCGCGTGGATTCTTTTCGCGGCATAATGTCTGAGGATGTCCAGACGCTTGCGTCCGCATCTCGCTCCATCGAGTTCCCATTCGATGTCTCACGTTATATCCAACTCCCCTGTCAGACATCTGGTCTTGATTTGGCCCGGCACGCACTGCTCGGTAGGTCAAGAGCAACGGTGCTTACCCCCTTGAAAGGTGAGGAAGATCATGCGACGACGGGAGCGCGCAGTGGACGGGTGGTCTCAGCTCAAATGATTTGAAAGTGACGTTCTTGTTCGTGTTATCCCTCCTAGGGGCATCCTATGATCGAAATCGGCTGTTAACATGAGGCGCGGGATTTGCAGAAGTACAGGTAACGTATACGGAAACGCTGCGAGGGGGACGGAATTGACAACTGTGAAATGTATAGATAACCGCTAACAAACTGTATCCCCGAAAACCTTAATGAATAGCTTGCCTGATTTAACTAGGGTATATAACGTAGTCGGTCTCCTTTCTAGCCAGTTCCCTACCCCCTGCACTTGAAGGTGGCGGGGTCAATGACAATTGGCGCAGGGCCGGTCTCGCGATCCAAGGCCTCCTCATCAATCATAGCTATGAAGTTGCGCATACACGGTTAGATGCCGACTCCTGGTTGTACTTCAAAGCTGGGAGCTGAAGGTGGCTTACCGTTGATTCGCACGAGACAGCAGTAATTAAGAGGTGATGACCCTCATGGAGGCACCCGCGTCCAGAGCCTCCTTAATTGACATAATGATGCTCTTCTGATGAGTTTTCCAGGAGAACATATCCTCGGCTACACAGATACGACTGTGGGCCATCTCTCGTAGAAACGTAAAGGGGCGGCAAAGGCCTCTAGTGTTGTCAAAGGCGTTCTCGATGTCTTCGACTAGAGCCAAGCCAGCCGTCGTGAGCAATTGTGTCTCGTATGCCATGCCAGGGTGATATGCTTACCATCGTAGCCGTTGAGCGTAATAATCCGATGAGGACGAAAATCGTCGACGAGCGGGTGGCGCGCTGCGCGGCGAAAGGGTTAGCTGTGTTCCCAGTTTCTGAGCGAGTTTGGTCACCAACAAGGCAGCACTTCCAAATCCATGGCTGAATCGATGTTGGCTGAATTCTTGTTGCGTGGGGTTGAAGCAGGAAAGGTGGACAGAAGATATCAGTGGGATGTGAGATTTTGCTTCAGAGGATGGCATCTTGACCTTGGTCTCAGTTCTAATGGAAGGAAATTGAAGAGAGAAATGGAAGTCGCCAAAGGTCGTGTGCGATTTATGGGCAGAGCTTGAACCAGACAGCGTAAATTGTGGGGCATCCGGCCGTGTTGCTATTGTTATGCTTTCATGAACAGGAGATCAGATTGAAGAGACCAGTGGGCTGGCACGCCAGTGACGGCCAGCTGTTGCCTTCATGAGATTGACCAACAGGCCGGTGCAATTGGCCTCGCCGTTGGTCATCAGGTCGAGCATGGTGAGAGTATCATCGAGTATAAGCTCGCCCAGGTTCTGTTTGGTGGCTCCCGTGGCCACGGCCGCGAGCAGCTAGGCGATGTTGGTCATGCTGAGGAGGTTTAGGTCATCGAAGTGTTGGAGCTACCTGGTCTCCGTGCTCTAGCGGAGAGCTTGCAAGGAAAAAGCGCGAATCCATTGCCGCCGGGCTTCAAATCAAGTGAGGGCAAAGCACATATATAGTTCACAACATGAACTTTGCACTCTCGTCACGAACATGGGCGAGCACACCTCCACCGGCGTTTTAAAGGTTAGCGCAGTACTTCCACCACCTGACCAAGAGTTGCAAGTGAGTATAGGCACTGTGCTTCAAATTTGATGGGGAAGATCCACAAAATTTAGTACTCAGTACATCCACCGTCAGCTGCAATCAGTTTCCGTAGCCGGTCTGGCATTGAGTGTGTCAGCCGTAGTAACAGGTCCTCCGGAATTGCATCCAATGCCTCCTGAATAGCCGTACGGAGAGCGGCAAGGCTAAGTCGCTGAAGATCTGGGTAGTGGTCCTCGACGTAGTTCTTCAGCCACTGCCAAAGGTTCTCTATCGGATTAAGGTCCGGGCTCCGAGCAGGCCACTCCAACAGCTCAAGGCCAAGTGCCGTAATGAGACACCTCGTTGAACGAGCTGCATGGGCAGCAGCATTGTCTTGTTGTAAGGCGAACTCGCAGCCGTGAGACTCCCAGCACTGCCATACAAATGGAAGCACAAAACGCTGATATTTCTCAGCGTTGATACCCCCGTATCCTTTCTCCTAGAAGAACCCGGGTCCCTTGTGCCGTCCGGCGAAGCAGCCCCAGAGCATCCAGCCATGTGGTTTTTGCCGAAGAAGTGCCCAAGTACGAGGGTCTTCAGTGTCGTGTACCGTGATCCACCTCTTCCAAATAGGGTTATTGGTAGACCAAGTCTCGTCGCTGAATATAACTTATTCCCAGTCCTCAGGATTAGGTCGTAGAGACAGTTGCTCGTATGCAAAGGCGAGTCGTGCGGGCCGGTGCTGATCAGTCAGTTCAATCCTACGGGGCCGTTTCCTTCTCGAGTAACCCATTGATCGTAGAGCCTTGAAGATTGCAGTCTCTCCAAGAGCTCAAACCCTGGGATATAGTACTTCAGATCGCCCTATGGGAGCTCGCGGAAGAGGTTGTTTGCTTCGAGATAGTGACGGAGGATCTCTCTTTGCGGAGTACGGATCAATGGAAGTCTTCCGACATGCCCGGTCTTCCGTGGAGTGAGTGGGCCATTACAAGCTCGTTGAACCTGCCGTCCAGTCACTCCTAAGGCCTGGGAAATGGCTTGGTAGGACCATTTTGTATAGTTACGCAAGGCTCGCGCCTCTATCTTCTGATCTCGTGTGAGTTCCTGGGCGCAGCCCTTGGCCGATGTTGTAGATCGGCTCGCTTGTTCCGTAAATTGATGTCGCCGGATTCGCTGACACCGCAAGTGGTAAAAACTATCCCCCGGCAGGCGAGTTGTGGATGCTTGTACAGTTGAGTAGACCGCGGATATTCATCTGGGAGTACGGATCTGTAGATATAAGGAGAGATATAGGATCTTTTGTAACAGGAGAAAGAGGAGGAGGAAATAACCAGCAGATGTTTGTTGTAAGTACTTTGCAATAGAAAATGCTAGGAAAGTGATCTTGGAGACTGGTACAGATCTCTATAGAGTCAAATATCGTGATGGTTGCTCTTTTTGGAACTGAGTGGGACAAGTATCGCGCTAATTTATAAAACCCCGGTGGAGGTGTAGAGAGAAATGTGTTGGAGCGTTTCGAACACCAGAACCAGAGGCCTACAGTTCAGCTTCAAATCCCAATGCCCAGTAGGTCGGCAAGCCAAACAGATGTTCCCCTCCTGCCATTCAACTAGCTTTAATACACGGCTTCATGATTGACAGAACAGTCATAGCGCTCTCGAAAGTCAAAGGACTGGCAAGCTTTTGCCTTCCTGACGACGTGGTCGTCCGACTGATTTGGCAACTAGGAGACACTGAGTCAAACCCTTGGAGCCTGGCTGGGAGCGACATATTACATGCGGTAGGAGATAGAGTTCTTCTCGCCGCTTGCCCATAGATGCCAAATCAGGTCAGAATTGAGCATGGAAATACTTCCCTGGCAGCAACCGGGTGACAAACCGCAGGAGTGATGGCACATTCTCACCCCCCAAACTTCGATCATGGCCTCACTCATGGTACCGTGACCCGAGTCATTCCCCGGAGTCATGGAGCAAACAACAGAGATGCAAATGACAACTGTCACGCAACAACGCATGTCCGTTTCCAGCAAATCCATCCGATCCGATTCGAGTCACCCGAACAAATCAGGCTGTCCCTCGCTACAAGACGCTCAAAGACAGACACTCCCTCCATGATTCACGGCCACAAACCACGGCTGCGGTCCACCATCCCCTACCTCCCCCCCTTTCACCAACTTCCTCCCAAACCTCACACCTTGCCGTTGACAAGCCCACTCCAGCGCGCCCAAAGTCCTCAGCACCTCCGCCGGGTCCGTGACAAACGTGCCCCAATGCATTGCCACCGCCACAGCCGGCTCTCCATCTGCGTCACCACCCAACTCAGCCATAGCCTTCAACACCCTGACAGCATCCCAGGGCGGCATGTGATTCGCCGCCGTCACACCTGCGCTGTGTCGTGGAAACGGATTGATCCAATCCGGCAGCGGGACAAAGCTTCTCAGGTAGGCAAACGTTGCGCCAACTGAGACGGGGAGGAGAAGCAAATTTGGCGGGGCGATGCGGTCTCTTATTTCGGCGAAGGCTGGGCAGGCAGGGAACTTTTTGTCGTCTTCGTTGTCGCCAGCGGGGGAGGGCTTATTCGGAGAGGGCGGCCAGGCCGGGGACGGGTGGAACTGGTAACCCGTGTCTCCTGCGAAGAAGACGCGGAAGGGAGGTTTGTTGGGCCGGGAGCCATGAGCGGGGTGGAGGAGTTCAATATACCAGCTCGACCAGAGGGCGGAGTCGGCGTCGCCGGCGGTGCGGAAGCTGTTGTGCTGGGCCGGGGTGCAGTGGAGTTTGAGGGTGCTTGTGGCAGGGGTTGGGGATGGGACGGTGAGTTCGACCGAGTCCCACCAATCCATCTCGATGATGCGGTCGGCGGGGATTTTCCAGTCGACGAACCAGTGCTTGTTTCCTAGGGGCACAAAGAATCGGACACAGAAATCGTTGCGCCGCCAGATGGACATGATGGAGTCTTGATCCATGTGATCGTAATGATTGTGGCTGATGCAGACGATGTCGATTGGGGGAAGGTCTTCGACCTTGCAGGGCGGTGGGTACGAGCGAATCGGTCCTGCGAACTTGCTGGGGGAGCAGCGGGCCGAGAACATGGGGTCGAAAAGGCACCGCACTGGCCTGTCAGGCCCTTTGATCCGGGAGTCCATCGAGGGAAGCTGAACCAGAACACCGGCGTGGCCCAGCCAAGTTACTTTGGCTTTGGTGTCATCGGGGAAGGAAAACTCCGGGTCCTCAACGCGGAGGAGCCGGGCTGATTTTGCTCCAAGGGAATTTGGCCAGTCGTTTATGTCGCCGAACCGAGGTAGCTTGCTCTGCTCCGGCTTCCGCATTGCGGTATCGTTGGCGAGGTGGGATGCGGCAAGTTCCTGACAGCCATCGTTGTCGTCGCCCCACTGGAAGCTGTCCCAAATCTCTGCGGTGGTCGGTTTGTGCCACGATGGCCAGGGATTGCGGAATCCTGCAATTCTACTCTTGCTCAACGAAGGACGAGTTCGTTGAGGGGAGGGAGTCCAAGATGGGACGTACGAAGTCCAGCCTGAGGCAGACCGGTTGGCGGGTGTTGAGACAACATGGTGCTCCGCAGGGGAGGCCGTGGGCGTGGGCCGCGTTATCGTGTTGATACGAAGCATGGTGATGGAGGATGGGATCGGAGGGACGATGAGAAATGGTCCAGAACAAAATTGCCCAGAATGAGACGGATGTGGTTAAGCAAGGATGACGTCAGCCAGTCAGTGGCTAAAATAATGTACTAAGTCTAGGCACTCAGAACGATCACTGTAGTCATTTTCCGGATGTCGATGCCACCTGAGAGCGCCGAAGAAACCCTTGATTATGTACCCAGCCAAGTTATCTTTCGATCGTTGTTTGATATTCTTTTGAGGGCCGTCCGATACGAGGTCAGCTACTGGGGAGAAAAGGATGCGGAACACGAGCGAGGTCAAAATAAGCGTACAGTTAGGCTCCGAGGAGCCCCACGGCAAGTCCCGGGTCCCGCAAATGGCCAGGACAGGGGTTGGTCCCATGCTCCCCGGCAGGTAAGAGGGCACAACACTTCAGGTTGGGCATTCATCTCAGAGATGGCACTGGAGTTGGGACAACCTCGAAAACTGTGAGGGAGCTTCAATTCTCTGTACTGAGGTAGCGAAGGCCTTACCATCCAGGCTCGTTTGCAACTACAAAACTCCTACGGACGATACCGCCAAGAGGGTCTTGTCACGTCACGTCTGATCACCACAGGGTCCATGCGCGTTACCCAGGTTGAGCCTGGATGCCCACCTGAGTTCTCGGCTAGCACCTCCGACCATGGGTTTCCAACTCCCTTATCCGGATGGTCACAACTGAGTGCCATTGCCAAGAATCGACGGTTCTCAAGCCCCTACGGCCGCAGTGCATCACTGAAGCCTACCTGAACAAAGGGACGGCCCGGACGATACTGCCAATATCAGCGTCGCATTGCAGCCCAAACTTTAACTCCAGGAGGTCCAAAATGCCGTGGAATGGTTGATACGGCCAAGACAGATGAGGGAAGGCGCCGTAGTCAGTTTTCGACGGCCAATGACTCAAAGGGAGAAAGAGCAACCGGGATGGGACACAGAGGAGTTCCGAACCGACACTGCAGGTATAAGAAAACCGGGAGTGCTCGACCGCAATTTCGCAGATAGAAAACCCCCTGCTCTCTCTCCATTACCATACTTCTGCGTCACGCCCGTTGCAGAACAACACTCCAAGTACTTCAGCGTTACCATCAACTCTCTTGTTTCCCGGCGTCATCCAGATCATCAGCCAGTAACACCAAACCCAAACCCAAACGAACATTCAAAGTCAATATGAGCGACAACTCCAACCCCGCCCCTCCCTCCGCTCCCGCCCCGCCGCCGACCTACACAAACCCTATTTCCAACCTCCGGCAACCAAACCGCGTCATCACGGGCCACAACTCCTCAGGACAATCCGTGATTCACTCCTCCACCCCCTTCACCTGGTCCCCCTACGCCGACAGCAACCTCGCCTTCTCAGTGCCCTACACCACCTCATCCTTCCCGGCAGACCTCAACGCTGACGCCGACATCGTCCACCACGAGCGCGTCATTTCCTCGGGCACTCTGGGCCTCGTCAACCCGCGCGGCACCGTCCTCCGGTGCGTCGACTTTGCGCCCGGCTACGCGTGCGCCATGCACCGGACGCAGAGCCTGGATTATGGCATCGTTCTTGAGGGCGAGGTAGACATGGTGCTGGATAGTGGGGAGAGGGTCAGCTTGAAGCGCGGGGACGTGGCGGTGCAGAGGGGCACTCAGCATCAGTGGATTAATCGGAGCCAGATGGAGTGGGCTCGGATGATATTTGTGCTGCAGGATTGTAAGAAGTTGGTGATCTGTGGACAAGAGTTGGGTGAGGATTTGGGAGAGAGTAGTGGGTCTGACTTACCGGCTAGTGGTAATTAGCATGCGAAGGGATGGGAGCTGAAGAGGGCGGGAGATGGTGATGGTAGGATTGGGCTGGTTGAGAGGCTGGTGTTGAGGTTCCATCTGGAAGCAGGGGAATATCGTTATATCGCACTCTTGCGTGCAATGGCGGGTGAGCGAGTGGGCACCCGCCGCTTTGCCTCACCCAGGGGTGAAAGCAAGAAGCCGAAAGCTTGTTCTAAACAATCAAATGCACGTATTTTTTATGAGCGTATTGCAGCTGTTTGAGTGTTGCGATGCGCCTTGGGCTTTCCAATCCCGACCTCGCAGCACCCCGCAACCACTGTACGTCGTCTCAAGAAGACCCCAGGAAAACGGATTCAGCAAGCAGAACCCCACACGCCATCGCAACATTTAACACTTGACTGAGAGCGGCAAATATGACTATCAGCTTTTCCAAGGCGGAGGAGGAAGTGTTGCGCCATTGCTGAGAGATCAATGTGTTCCAGACCCAACCTCGACTTACCCGAAACTAGCCACGATTCACCTCTTTTGGTACGGAACACCTCCATACTGAAAACATCTTGCATTTCGTATCTCACCATTCACGAAAGAAGCCTTTGATGTATGAGGACTCCCAGCTAAGTCTCATTCTGAATAGCGACAGGTACAATAACAAACCCACCCGACCCAATGATTACTCGAATCTCACGCTAAAAGCCCCCTCGCAGGTCTGCCGCACTACGGTCGCCTTCTGACCTCAACGATCAAAGACATTATTCCGCGGTATTAGTCGATGAAAGGCTACCATGTAAGCCGCCGCTTCGACTGGGACACTCACGGACTCCCCATCGAATACGAAATCGACAAGAGATTGGGTGTTCTGCACGGAATGCGGTCAAGAGCATGGGAATTACAAAGCACAATGCTGAATGTCGATTCATTGTGATGACTTACTCGGCTGAATGGAAGCACAAAATCGAACGTCTGGACAGGCGGATCGACTTCGACAACGAATGCAAGGTAGGCAGTGGATACCTTGAACCGGACTAGTTTATGTGCTAACTCTTATTTAAGAATTACAGTCAATGGACCTCAGGTTCATGGAGTCTTGCTGGTGGGTGTTTAAGCAGCTACAACACAGACAGCCCCATGGCTCAGCGGGCTCTTGGTGACACGGTGGGTTTGGTAGACGTGACGACGCACCCGGAGCTGGTGGAGGAACGGCTGGTGCGGGATCTAATCAAGTCGGTTTCAGTGGTTGCGCAAGAAGGCGGGGCTGGTGCCGACGGACGAGGTGTGCATGCGGCAGCGTGTTGTCTCGGATCCTGATGGGGTTGGACTTGGGAATGTGGTGACGGCGCGGCAAGATATGTTTGTCGCTGCGCTGAGGGGGAGGGTTGAGGAGGCACGGGAGGATTGGGAGGTCATTGAGGAGAAGGAGAGGCGGTTGGGAATGTGGTTGTCGTGTTGCAACTTGCGAGGGTTTGAAGGCGCTCGTCCCGGGAGAGCAGTGGCCACAGCAGAATATACATAGTTAGAACGTATTATTTTGGGAATATTCTTTGCTCGGGATTGCCGCATCAACAAGAGATTAAAGTACCCGACCTTTTATATTAGCAACATGTCCGTCGAGCTGGCAACTTCTAAGAATGATGTCTGCTCGACCGCCTAAGACAGAATGAGAAAGTGAAAAGAATTGTGCGCTTGAAGTTCGGAGGAATCGAACTCACACCCAGGCAGGACGATGGCGTCAGGTAGCACCTACAGTAGCGTTTGACGGTTCAGCATAACCGTCCCAGTCACTGGTTGGATGTGCCGCTAATGGCAGCTACACCATGCACACCCAAGTGCCTCAACATCCCATGAACTGAGCGAGAGTTGAGGGCTTAGCCGAATCTCTCGCAGTCCCTCCAAATCATTTCAGAGACGGCTTTCCCGGGGACTGTGGACCCCAAATATCTAACGTTGAAGACTGCGAACATGCGGAGCTGTATGGATCCTGCCTTCGTTAACTCATTTCATCGAGTCCTCGCCACTGCAAGCGGTTACTCCCCGCGCTCCGTCACCCTCATCCACAAGTCAGAGTGGAAAAACATGTTGGTGTTGAACTCGCGCCACGGTCCTTTCGGGTACATGATCTCAAAGTCGAACCTGCGCAGCAACTACTCGACGCCCGCCTGTCAGCGTTCTCCTTCCGGCATCAAGACGCCAACACGATCTGAAGCGAGACATACCTCGACGTAGATCTTGTTCAACTCGAGAAACGCAACCGACTTGCCCGAGCATCCCCACCGACCATACCCAAACACGAGCTCCGTCGTCTGCACCATGAGTTGCTTCTGCTCCGGAGAGATGCCCAGCCAGCGCTCGGGACGGAAGATGTCGGCGTCGTCGCCAAAGATATCTTTTCGGCGCATCAACGCCTTGGTGTTGTGTCCGACTCGGGTGCCGCCGGGGACGATGCGGCCATCGATGGTATCGCCTTCGGGAGGGACCTGTTTCATGAGCAGGCCGGAGAAGGGGATCTGCATGCGCAAGCCTTCGTAGATGACAGCCTGTTTTCACAAGTCAGTGTTAAAACCACTCAGAAATGTTTCCTCCTGAATGGGAGGGGCTTGGTACGTACTTGGAGGTACTGGAGTCCCTTGCCTTCCTCAGCCGTGATGGGCTTGGAGATGCGACCTTCCGCAATCGCTGCGTCGATTTCCTTCTGCAGTTTGATGTAGGCATGCATGGTTCCAGTGAGGTGGAGCATCGTGCCGCGGATTGCCGTGGCGGTTGTGTCAGAGCCAGCAACTAGCTGGAAGGGCACCTCGATTTCACACTGGCGCTGCGTGACGCCGTGGCGGACAAAGGCGCCGAGCATGTCCTGCTGGTCTTTGGCGTCGGGTCCAAAGCGCTTGGTGACTACTTTCTCTGCGATTCTACGAAGGTCAGTGGGCTGATGTGTCAAAGGTACCGGTTAGGAAGAAGGACAATCTCACCCCAACATCCTCCCCAGTCCCTTCTCATCCGTCTTTTTCGGGCCGACCAGCTTCAAGACCCACGGCCTCGTGAAAAGCCACCCGAGAAACGGCAACTCCGCCAGCACCACCAGGAACGGAATTCCCTCCTCCGCCCCCTGAATAGCATGAAACACATCCTCATCCCGTTCCAGGTACCCAAACTCCTTACCATACGCAACCTTGGTGATGACATCCATCGTAAAATACTGCGCCGCCGTCGCCAGATCAAAACCCCTCGTCCCCCGCTCATCAGACAGATACCTCCCCCTTATCAAACCCACCAACTTTTCAATCATGCCATCCACGTCCCTTTCCAACCCTTGATTCTCCCGCCCGCCATACCCAAACGCAAGCTTCGCCTTGAGCCTATCGTGCGCCGCGGTATCCGTCAGACTGAACAGCCCCTCGTCGTACGGGTTCATGCGCAGGGACGTGTACCAGCTACTGCGGCGATAGGTGCTCCTCGCGGCGCTCATGCGGCGGATGAGCGACGGGTCGTCGGTGATCAGGTCGTTGGGGCCGATGCGCACGACGTGGCTGCCGTAGGTGTCGTGCAGGTGCTCGTACGACGCGGCTTGGACCCCCGAGCGGCAGATGCGGAGCATCCAGAAGTAGGAGAAGGAGGCAAGGAGGGGGCCGGGGAAGTGGCGGAGGCGGCACCATGCCGCGAGGTAGCTGGCGGCGATGAAGGAGAGGGGGATGAATGGGAGGAGGTAGGAACTGTGGAGGTAGGATAGGAGAAAGGAGAGCATGTTGAGGCTTGGGTTCGTCGGGTCGTCTGTGCTGATGAGTGCAAGAAGGGGTACTGCCGGAGCAAGAATGAGGTGATGGGACAATCGGCGGGGCTACAGGGTTGATCTTATAACTACATCCTTGTATGGCAGCCCCTTACGGCATCCTTAGTATTGCTTTCGCTTGTAGGTGGCGCTTCCGTAGGCGGGCTTTGTCAGCATTTGCATCTTCGAGTCCTCTTCCGGAATGCGAGACTGGAACGAGCGAGTTGCAATCGCCGGGGTAAAGCGGATGGATGCGGTGCAACCCTACAGTGTTGGACATGGCAATGCGAGATTAGAACTGAGATGCGAGACTTCGAATTCCGAGGTCGACGAACGCCAATGATGCTATCTGTTGTTGGAAGCATGCTTGGTCTGTTTACACAATATTAGCGTGGCATATGGCAGGCGCGAGACAAGAATGGAAACTTAAGATCAGGAAAAGAAATAAAGAAAAAGTCTTGAAAAAGGAAAAAGGACGAAAAAAAGGAGGAAAGAACGAAGGTAAGAAAAAACAATAAAAATCACAAAAACATAACGTTATAAGTTACGTTAACTACCTAAGTTAACGTTAATCTTATTCCACGTGGGTTTGCCGCATCCAGCGGTGTCCGAGTAAACTCCCCGCCTACTGCGGGGAGTTTCCCGGGCCTGGAACGAGCATTTGCATCCCAGAAACCTGCCGAGTGCCCACCGTTTCCCCTCTGGATACCTGCGAAAAAATTGCCAACACAGTGGGCGGCACCACGCAGCACCTCATCTCATGGAAACCAAACATCAACCCGGAGTGCTCAAACCTGTACAACGTGGTCGATTATGTGATTTGTGTCGGCTCGCTTGGTTCCGTTGCGACTACAACAGCGCCAACAACATATACACCCTAACGGACAACAATGTAAGGCCTTTGTCTCAAGTAGCTTTGACTCACTTCCAACACCAGTACTAATCCATGGCCATGATAGGTTTACGGATCCGTGCTTGAACGCGGGAGCTGAAACGATATCCAGCTGCTACGTCCCAACTCTTCCATCTGATACGACAGTAGCCTGGCCAACAGTGACATAGAGCGGCATCTCCAACGAAACCGACGCAAGCACAACCGTGTCCTCCTCGCCAAGCGCCGTACCGACAGTGCCTCTAGCAGCGGGCACATGGACCAACTGCACCCACTACGCCACATACATGGACGTGCCAGCCGACGCTTCGTACCTCGAGTTCTCCATCCCAAAGTACTGTCTGATCAGGACCTCCCTCTGGAATATCGAGCTGGAGCAACCCCTCCTCTAGAACCCATCGCTTCTCGAGATGTTTAACGAGACCATGCTCGATTCCTGCATGCTCAAAGAAGGGTTCCGGTACTGCGTTGGCGGCGGCGGCTGCGGGAGTATCCCCTCAGGATCAAGCACAACGTTGCCGCCAAGTTCGTCATCAGCGGTACCCTCTTCCAGCGTTTCCAGCATTTCATCGTCGTCGACAAGTCTTGCGCCTGTTCCCACACCCAACAGTAACTGCGTCCTCGGTACTGGCCCAGGTGGCTACCAGGGTCTCTGTGATTTCAGCTGTCACTTTGGTTGGTGTCCATCGCCGTGCACTTGCACAACGACCGGAACACCCGCTCCGCCTTCAGCCCTCTTGACATTGGGTCAACATGGTTACGCCGCACCAGGCGAAGCAGCAGACTTTGGTCCCCTCTGTGACTTTGCCTGCTCCCGAGTCGGGAACTATTATCCAGGTCCGCCGTGCACCACCATCCCCCCTGTTACTGTTTACGTCGAGGGAACAGGTACCGGCAACTACGAGGGTTTATGTTCATATACATGCGGCTTCGGTTATTGTCCTCCTGGCCCTTACACCTGCCTTGCGTACGGCACGCAGGTTCTGCCGCCTCCCGCCACACATCCGGCGGGTGTCCCGGCGACGGGATTGGATGAGAGTTATTCGGGGCTGTGCAGCTTTACGTATGCGCGGAATTACTGTCCCCCTGGAATCTTATATGTGGCCGTAGAGACATTTGTCTTCATATAGTAGGCCTCAAAGCATTTTTGTTTGGGGGTGTTTCGAGTTGGGATGGTGTTGTTGTTGTTGTTGTTGTTGTTGTTGTTGTTGTTGTTGTTGTTGTTGTTGTTATCGATTGGTTGATTGCTAGAGCTACTTGGGGGTTCTATAGGTAGTTTACCTAGCTTTTTCTTCAGATATCTCGTATTGGCTTGATTTCGCGCCGTTGGAGTTGTCGAACTTCCGGAAGATCAACTAGCAGATGGCGGAAATATCCCCGTGCCGAGAGAGTTGAAAATATGTACATGCCAATTTTAGTGAACGTTGCGCGCTTTTTCCAGCTCAAGTTGGCGCTTTCTTTATCCCTTGTGTTACTAGGGCGACACAAAAGGGGTTACCAGAACAGTAAGAAAGGTCCCTCCTGTTCCTAGGGGCATAGTACAGTATCACAGTGATCCGACGGCTTCGTGATTTAAAACTTGGGTGCTACTGGTAATATTTTGAAGGGCTTGAGCAATAGACCGCTGGTATATTGGAAAGAGCACTTAGATAAGAACTGTTTCAATAGGCATCAACTGCGTTGAACCGCTCGTCTTTTTTTTCACCAACTTCCAGGTCGCAGGATAAGCTCGGGAATTGGCCTTTGGAGAGGGAGCATGGAGTTGCGTGCAACGACGTTATAACTCCAGGGTTGTCTCATTAGCGGCCGGAAGGGCCGTGGGATTTGTGTCTGTGGTCTGATTTGTGTTCGTTTCCTACCTATTAAATTTCTCTCCGACGTCTTAGCAGGCAAAACAGTTGACGACGTGGTTTATCATCTTACAGTCGATAGCGCCGGAAAAAACGCTGACCATGGAGGCGCAGGTTGTTGATGTGGATTCCGCCGTTGAGTCCCTGGAGGCATGGGCCGCAATGGCTCATCATGTGGCTCCCACTAGACTGACGGGTCCGTGTCGCTTAGATAAGCACAACGATTATCTAAGCACCCAAAAATGCATCTAACGCGGCCACCACCCCACGC